TGTGGACATAATACTTTGTCTGTTTATCAACATATATCGGGTTACAAGTCTAATGGGTGAGAAGAGAATATCAAAAGACTTTTTAATAGCTCAGTTTAAAATCGATGGATGTTAAAAACACATGAATCTTATGTCATCGAAACGAGGTTTGCATGAACTATTATTGACCTACGAATAAACATCCACGTGATTGACAGGCTGTTAAAGATCTTTTCGCAATTTTTACAGACCAGTTGAAAGAGGGACAACGAACGAGTAAGAACTGTTTTCCATTTCTACGGGGCACATCTCTTTAGATTCCTTTGAAACAGATCTACAAAAGCCTTCCCTTTATTCATAAGAAATCTCTTCCAAAGGTGCCAGTGCGTTTTACATCTCGATCTGAACGATAACAATACATTGGGCAGGGGAATCCCCTTTCCACACGACGGAAAACGCTCAGCCTATCACGACCTAACAATGGGTACCAGCAAGTCACTCATGCGAGGCGATATGCCTCGTTCGGGGCTCTAGAAGAGGGGGAAGTGTATAGAGGCTCAGCTCCTATGTATTTTACCGTCAATGACGCCAAATACAGCATTTTCACTTGATTTATCTGTGATGTACATTCACTCACTTCAGTTGGTACATGCATTCACACCACGGATTAAGTTTCCACACATATTCACACACCTGATTTAGCTATCACACACATTCACACACCTGATTTAACTATCACACACATTCACTCACTTGATTTAGCCATCACACACATTCACACACTTGATTTAGCTATCACACACATTCACACACTGGTTTAGCTATCACACAAATTCACACACTTGATTTAGCTATCACACACATTCACTCCCTTGATTTAGCTTTCACACACATTCACTCACTTGATTTATATATCATACACATTCACTCACTTGATTTAGCTATCACATACATTCTCACACTGATTTAGCTATCACACACATTCACACACTTGATTTAGCTATCACACACATTCACTCACTTGATTTATATATCACACACATTCACTCACTTGATTTAGCCATCACACACATTCACACACTTGATTTACATATCACGCACATTCACTCACTTGATTTATATATCACACACATTCACTCACTTGATTTAGCTATCACATACATTCACACACTTGATTTAGCCATCACACACATTCACACACTTGATTTAGCTATCACACACATTCACTCACTTGATTTATATATCACACACATTCACACACTTGATTTAGCCATCACACACATTCACTCACTTGATTTAGCTATCACGCACATTCACTCATTTGACTTAGCTATCACAGACATTCACTCTTTAGATTTAGCAATCACACACATTCACTCACCTGATTTAGCTATCAGACACATTCACATACTGATTTAGATAACACACACGTGATTTAGCTATCACACACATTCACACAACTCATTTAGCTATCACACACATTCACACAACTCATTAAGCTATCACACACATTCACTCAATTGACTTCGCAATCACACACATTCAATCAATTGATTTAGCTATCACAAACATTCACTCACTTGATTTAGCAATCACACACCTGATTTAGCTATCACAGAAATTCACTCTCTTCATTTAGCTACCACACACATTCACTCACTTGATTTATATATCACACACATTCACTCACTTGATTTAGCTATCACATACATTCACACACTTGATTTAGCCATCACACACATTCACTCTCTTGATTTAGCTACCACACACATTCACTCACTTGATTTAGCCATCACACACATTCACACACTGATTTAGCTATCACACACAATCTCTCGCTTGATTTAGCTACCACATACATTCACTTACTTAATTTAGCTATCACACACATTCACACACTTGATTTAGCCATCACACACATTCACACACTTGATTCAGCCATCACACACATTCACACACTTGATTTACCTATCACACACATTCACACACACTGATTTAGCTTTCACATGCATGCACTCACTTGATTTGGCTATCAAATAGATTCACTCACTTGATTTAGCTATCACACACATTCACACACCTGATTTACCTACCACACACATTCACTCGCTTGATTCAGCTATCACACATTCACACACCCGATTAAGCTATCACACACATTCACACACACTGATTTAGCTTTCACATGCATGCACTCACTTGATTTGGCTATCAAATAGATTCACTCACTTGATTTAGCTATCACACACATTCACACACCTGATTTACCTACCACACACATTCACTCGCTTGATTTAGCTATCACACATTCACACACCCGATTAAGCTATCACACACATTTTCTCACTGGATTTAGCTATCACACACATTCACGCACTTGATTTGGCTATCACACATTCACTCACTTGATTTAGCTATCACACACTTTCACGTACTTGATTTAGCGATCACACACATTCACTCACTTGATTTAGCCATCACATACATTCACTCAATTGATTTAGGTATCACATGAATTCACGCACTTGATTTAGCTATCACACACATTTTCTCTCTTGATTTAGTTATCACACACATTCACTCAATTGATTTGGCTATCACACATTCACTCACTTGATTTAGCCATCACACATATTCACTCACTTGATTTAGCCATCACATACTTGCACTCACTTGATCTCGCTATCACACACATTCGCACGCTGATTTAGCTATCACACACATTCACTCACTTGATTTAGCTTTCACATACATTCACGCACTTGATTTAGCTTAAACATACATTCATTCACTTGATTTAGGTAAAACATACATTAATTAACTTGATTTGGCTATGTAACACCTTTGGCCCTCTTCAAACAACACGAGCCACAGTTGCGCACACAGAATTGGTGTTTTACTCTCGGAGTACAACTATTTGAGGTAGGGCCAACAGTTTACACAGATTCCGACAGACACTCCAGGGGAAGGCGGCCAAGTCAGGCTGACACTTGGTTAGATGGTGTTCGTCCCTTCTTATCTCTGGCTTGTTTTCTGCTGGCCTGTCCCGTTCTTCCTCTGTCTGCCGGCTCACCACTGCTTGCCTACCTATCCTGACGGTTTATAAAGGCAGATGAACGACTAACAAACTACTTAGGTCGGCAATTATCATGGACATAATCTGCCTAGCTGCTCATATTTGGCGAGCTGGACATATCCCTTGACAAATAGTGTTACAGCTATCACATTCATTCCATCGCTTGATCTAGCTATCGTAAAATTCCTTCTGCTGATTTAACTATCACACACAGGAACTCACTTAGTTTAACTATCAAATACAGGTGTAACTTCATTTAGCTATCACACACAGGAACTCACTTAGTTTAACTACCACATACAGGTGTAACTTCATTTAGCTATCAAAGACATTAATTCAGTTGGCTTAACTATCACATACAGCACCCACTCGATTTGGCTATCACACAGCACTCACTTGATTCAGCTAAACAATGCCCACTTGATTTAGCTATCACAAACAGCACTCACTTGATTCAGCTAAAAATTTCCCACTTGATTTAGCCATCACATACATTAATTCACTTGGTTTAACTATCACATACAGCAACGCACTTGATTTAGCTAAAAAAACTCACTTGATTTAGCCATCACATACATTAGTTCACTTGGTGTAACTATAACATACAGCACTCACATGATTCAGCTAAAACATTCCCACTTGATTTAGCTATCACATACAGCACTCACTTGATTCAGCTAAAAACATCCCACTCGATTTAGCTATCACATACAGCACTCACTTGATTCAGCTAATCAATTCCCACTTGATTTAGCTATCACATACAGCACTCACTTGATTCAGCTAAAAAATTCCCACTTGATTTAGCTATCACATACAGCACTCACTTGATTCAGCTAAAACTTTCCCACTTGATTTAGCTATCACATACAGCACTCACTTGATTCAGCTAAAAAATTCCCACTTGATTTAGCTATCACATACAGCAACGCACTTGATTTAGCTAAACAAAACTCTCTTGATTTAGCCATCACACACATTAATTCACTTGGTTTAACTATCAAATACAGCAACGCACTTGATTTAGCTAAAAAACTCACTTGATTTAGCCATCACATACATTAGTTCACTTGGTGTAACTATCACATACAGCACTCACATGATTCAGCTAAAAAATTCCCACTTGATTTAGCTATCACATACAGCACTCACTTGATTTAGCTAAAAACATCCCACTTGATTTAGCTATCACATACAGCACTCACTTGATTTAGCTAAAAAAACTCACTTGATTTAGCTATCACATACATTAGTTCACTTGGTGTAACTATAACATACAGCACTCACATGATTCAGCTAAAAAATTCCCACTTGATTTAGCTATCACATACAGCACTCACTTGATTCAGCTAAAAAGATCCCACTTGATTTAGCTATCACATACAGCACTCACTTGATTTAGCTAAAAAAACTCACTTGATTTAGCTATCACATACATTAGTTCACTTGGTGTAACTATAACATACAGCACTCACATGATTCAGCTAAAAAATTCCCACTTGATTTAGCTATCACATACATTAATTCACTAGGTTTAACTATCACATACAGCAACGCACTTGATTTAGCTAAACAAACTCACTTGGTTTAGCTATCACATACATTAATTCACTTGGTTTAACTATCACATACAGCAACGCATTTGATTTAGACATCACATATATTAATTCACTTGATTCAGCTATTTCATACAGCAACGCACTTGATTTAGCTTGGCTTAACTATCACATACATTCACTTACTTGATTTAGCTAACGCATTCATTAATTCACTTGGTTTAATTATCACATGCATTCACTCGCTTGATTTAGGTAACAGGTACTTTCGTCCACATACATTCATTCACGTGATTTACCAATCACACAGAGTAACGCTCTTGCTCCTACTCATAGTTGCCAAGCGCAATCTGTCACGTGTAATCAATGTTACAGTGAAGGCGTGCACTCGTGAAGACCCACCCTGTAGAGCCCCACACGTCACAGGTACAGCTTTCTTTGTCAAGCACTGTGGATTTGTCCTAACGTCACACAGCTCTGGAATACCCACCAGAAAACACTAAACATAGATCGATACGTTAGTTGGGTGTGGTATATCGACTTTGAACAAGCGAGACTGGCCAGTGTTTGACAACTACAGGCACTGCTCCGCGCCAACACGTTAAAAGGTAGGTAACAAACACTTCGACGTGTCCAGGTGTTTAGACAACCGAGCTCGGCCCCAGGGTATATCAAACACAAGTAGTTGACTGGTGAATGTACATCTGTGTTGTTATATACCTATATGTCACCTTAACATTGCATCGACCTGATTAAGCTATATCCCGAGAACACCTTTACTCCGAGTATTAGACGTCCATGATTGAATGAATGACTCTGCAAAAGTTGAAAGGATCGGCAAAATTCGTTAGACATATATATATTGGGTGATGGTTGGTGTGCGAGCATGAACAAACAACGCAGTTCAATTGTTTCAAATAATAATGATAAATTTGAACATTAGGTCATATCAGGGATACTCTACAACATATACTTTTTGGATGGGTCATGTTACAGATACTGAGGGAAGAAAATAAAGGATCACATTAAAGGGCACATGTTCCTTTATTTTTTGTCCAAGGTTTCTTCACAAGGTTTGTATCCCATAGCTTGTGAAGAACCGGGGGAAAAATAAGGGACCACTTGTGCTTTCACTTGATCCCTTATTTTTTTCCCTCAGTATATATATATTTATTTATTATTATTTTCTTATTTTGTATTTATTTATTTTTTTTATTATTTTTTTTTTGTGTGTGTGTGTGTGTTTGCATGAAAAATGTTACATATATTTGGGTTCAGAAAAATGTAAGTCCTAACAGCAATACACCGACCTCAACCCCTTAAATAAAGGACCACTCCCTTAATGTACCATTGTAAACACATTAAGTGGTAATGTAAGCACTTTCGTATTATTTCAACTTATGTAAATGTTTGTTTCTTATTTGATATTAATATAGAACTGAAATAGTGATGTACTGTATAATCCTTTTGTTGACTTTATGCACTACATAACCCAGACTACTGGACTGCAGTTGCCAATAAGATTACTATACCCTCAAGGTATAAAGGACTTGCATAACATGGCATAAGGAACTCTTACATCAAATGCTTTCAGGTGTCTAAAGGCAACAGCATACCTAGTTGGGTGGATTGAGTGCCCAGTTCACCCTTGATAATCTACAAGAAATCCTGACTAAGTCATGTCCTTAAAGTGATTCACATATGCATAAACATTAATTACATTTTGGAGATATGAATAAATTGTTATTATCAATATCCAGACACACACGAATACAGGATTTCGAAAAGGTGTGTGCTCTGGAGTTCTACATGTTGAAGAACGGAGTGGGGTAAGATTGGGGGGGTGGTATTTATAATTCAAAACTTCAGCACAGGGGAAGGCTGTGTGATATTTAAATCAGACATTGGTGGGGATTGATGTTGTTGTTGTCATCATGTTTGGGGATGTGTGCCGTCAGAACTGTACTAGAGGTAGTTGTGTGTAGTACAAGGTACCTTGTCTGTAGCTCTCTTCTGTAGCATCACTAACTTGTTACAGTGTGTTATAGCTTTGGTGTTAGTGCAAGTTATTTTGTTTCAATGTTTCAGGCACATTGTGGATTACCAAGGTCAGGAATGGCTGTTCAGGGAAAACTCCCCACTAAGGATCTGTGTCGACTCTGCAAGAAAATCTGTACGGAACCAAAGTTCCTGCCCTGCAAACATGTCTTCTGTAGGGCCTGTCTCCGTTTCCAAATTATAACTGTACCTGCAAATCTACAATGGGAAGGGTTCAGCTGCCCCTTCTGCAAGAAATACACCAAGGCCATTGACCCGGACCAGGCTCTGGCACTATGGGCTGACCAGTTTCCAGACATATGGCAGCCAAAGAAAAGAAACACTCAAAGACAACATCCAACAAATGTTGTTGGTTCCACCAGTGACCTAGGATCAGTACAGAATGAGTCACCATTTACTGTCTCTCGTGATTTATCTGTGGACGAAGGTAGTTCAACAAGCACCTTTGGATCAGTGACCTCCGAACCAATGTCTCCAGCACCTGCTTCAGAGTCATCACTTCCAGCATCACCTCTGAATCCTAAACTGGCAACACCATCACCCTTTAGTGATGGTGATACATCACTGTCAGACTCAAAAGTAGTTCCTGAACCCACTATACCAACACCAAGCAGCAACTCACCATTGCCTGATATGACTGATGGACCAGAAGTTACTCAGTCTGGAAGAACCATGACTCAGGAAGGTTCTCAAGGACATTCTGATATTCAGGATACTGTTAATATGTTCTCCAAAGACAATGTGCCCGACAGTGACGTAGAAATATGCATCATCCATCCATGGAAACCAGTCATTCTTACCTGCAAGAAATGTGTCAGTTTAGCTTGTGGTCAGTGTTTGACAGAGAGCCATACAACATGTCGAGCTGAAGACTTTGATCTAGTTTCAGATTCATGCACTTTACCCGACGTGTCCAAACTAGAAAGTGAGGCAAATAAGGTCAGTTCATTTACTGACTCGTGGGCATCAAGTGCAGGGCAGCTTGAACAGAGCCGGGTAGAACTAAGACATAAGATAAGTCAGATGGCAGATATGATGATCCAGGACATTGAGAAGGACAAAGAACAGATGGTCAAGAGGGTCAAACAACTGTACCGAGATGAAATCTGGAGACTGAAGTCCGGCATCAACCCATCAGAGACACTGCTGAATGAGGTCAAGCAGGTAAAGAATGACACCGACAGTCTTTCCAGTCAGCATCCCACTCAGATCTTTCTTCGGGCTGACAGCATCCTGGCTAAGCAAAAAGCACTGCTTGAAAACCTGGGAACTGTGGATTTTGCCTGTGTTCCTCCAGAGATCAACTTTGTGGAGAACAATGTGTATCATGTCAGTCTGGGGGACCTTGTTGTTGATGCAGGCTTCTATCCGAAACATGATGCCTGTGATGTACAGCTGGAAACAGAACTGTCATCAGTGGCAATATCAGGTGATGGGAACAGCACTGATTCAGCTTCCAGAGATGGTACAGATCAAGGTGTAGCCTCAGGTCTGGGTCAAACATCACTCCCGGAAAAGAAAAACAGAAGCTCTCTCAGTAACTTGTTTTCACCTACAAGAAAACCAGAGAGGAACAGTAAATTTTATGTTGACGTTCAATGACTGTCATAATATGACTAGAACTTTGTAACATCTCCAAGACTCCTTACAGTGCATGAACTACAGAATAATCAGTCACATTTATCCACAGATACCTATGGCCATTAAATCAAAATGGTGGTGAAAGTTATGTGAATCGGTAACAAGCTATCTGTGGTGATATTAAAAAGAGTAGACATATCCTGCTCCGCTGAAAGCAACGACCAGTGTCTGTTGCCGATTGTTGCCTAACAGTAATCCGCCCTTACGATGGCAACATATTACCAATCAAGTCTTGGCCAAACAAGACCAGTGGCCAGTGATGGACCAGGCAATCCAGTGACAAGACATATTGTGTTGTGATAGCAGCATATTGCTGATGCAGGAACATTGTCCAGACCTAATTACCTGGAGCCAATGAGATACAGTTAACTGATTCTGATATAGTTCATGTTCTGGAGACTCAACATTTGCAAGATAGATGGATATTTAACTGTGATATTAACTTATTGCTAAAAAATTTCAGAGACAGTTTGTTTTCCTCCTCAATACTTTCATCAAATACATAATGTTTAAATCATATTAAGGCCAGACCAATTGTATTTCTTGTTTTACGGATCTGCCGGTCATATTTTTTCAAGAATAAGAAAAAAATAATAATTAATTTTTCGGCTCAAAAAATAAAATCCTTATTTTTATTGGCCAAAAATGTAAACTTACAAACAAATATTTTTTGATTGTTTTTTTCCCCATTTACACTTCATAAATCACCAAAAATATAATACTGTTAGTATTTAAAAGGAATATTAATTTGACTGGTGAGTTTTATTTTCTTTTTTCCTTTTCCTCCTGCCTTTAGGGTTCTTTGAGGACAAAAATCCATAAAACAAAAAAAATTGGTCTGCCCTAAAGGATGATATTTATTATCAGGAAAGTGGGCACAGAGAAAGAGATTTGTCAACAAGGGATGGCATGTTCTGGCTGAAGTCATTCCATGTACAGATCATGTATACTACTCAAAGAAGTGTTAAAGAACACCAGATTTGTTCATATGACCATAGTTAATCAATAATAGCTGGTGGGTGTTAAAACACAGAGCCTCCAGAGATAGGTGTTCTGTATATGATTATATATGAGAAAGCTTTCGGGTAAACTGTATGATAACATATCAGTGTGTGTCTGTGTGTGTGTATGTGCCTGTGTCTGTGTGTAAGGGGCAAGGTTCACAATTAGAATAGATAAGCATTTGTTGAAGGTCATTCTTCTGACCAACGATCACAGTTTGTTTCCTGTGATACAGAGACAAGACAAGATTCCTTTTGCTAACCAAAACAATTCCTTCTATTTGATTATCCTTTAAACAGTTTGAATTATTTACTTTTGGCTGACAAATAATACCAGTTGCATTTAAATAGAGACACTTTACTAGTTTTCTGCAGCTTTTACTTGATAGCAAAAGAGCAAATGTCCCTTTAATTGCTGTGGTCCACCTGTTCAGTGATGTAACACCTCTAGTGTAATACTGTGTAGCGATTACCAGCTCCAGTGATGACATCAACCATTGCTTACACCGATTCTCCTCACCACACCAAGGATTGGTTTAGGATACACACAGATGTCAAACTATGATTCTTGTTCCTTTATATTTGACAAGATGTTAATTTACCATGTTGATAATGCAGAATATATGACCTGTAAATAGCCATTGAGCATGTGTTTCTGGTGTCATCAAATATGTGAAGTTTTGTCAGGATCTTCCTGTGTCATAATCTTCCTGTGTCAGGACCTGCTTTTTCACCTGAAGGCGCTGCCCCAGAACTTCAGCCATTCACTGTGATATGTGTCATATACTCATTAATGTTCCATCCTGATATCTTGGAAATAAACACTTGACAATGCAGGGCATTGTTTTGAAAGTACAACATTGTTTGTCTTGACAATACATCAATTTGTTTTTTCTTGACAATACATCCCAGTGTTTGTCTTCACAATACAGCAATTTGTTTGTCTTCACAATACATCCCTGTGTTTGTCTTCACAATACAGCAATTTGTTTGTCTTCACAATACATCCCAGTGTTTGTCTTCACAATACAGCTATTTGTTTGTCTTGACAATTCATCCCTTTGTTTGTCTTGACAATACATCCCTGTCTTTGTCTTGACAATACATCCCTTGGTTTGTCTTGACAACAGTAATATTGTGTTGTATACTCCTGAACAGTCCACCCTCACTTGTTGAAAATAAATACTTGACAGCAAATATTTGACATTACATCCCTGTATTTGTCTTGATGATACATAACCATCTTTGTCTTGTCTTGACTGTACAGCCCAGTACAGCACCTTTTGTGTCTTAGCCATACAGCAGTGTTTTGTCTTATCACAAGTCTCTGATGACAACAGAAGATAAGGGCAAGAGTGTTGATGAATATCTTAGCCAGCAATATTCCAGCAACAACAACCAACATCAAGCCACACCTGACACAATCACACCTCTGCTCACCCGGGACTGAAATCAAGGACAATGACACAAGTTACACCTGTTGGTGTCACATGAATCTTGATAGTCGAAGCTCACCAAAGTAATGTACCAATGACCCCTTGCTGGCATCAAACCCTTCTCACTCACTAACGTAAATTACAACTAGCAATAACAAACAGTTACTGAGACACTGCAACAACTTTATTAATTGGTCTTCTTAGAAATCTTCTTTGACGTCTGCACAGAGATATATTTCTTGTAGCCAGTCTGGAAGAGCTGGTAGTATGTGAAGTACAACAGGAACAGGATGAAATGCATACAGGAGTAGATGGAAATGAGGACGGGGAATAGGTCTGGCAGTCTCACTGGTGCCTTGACCACTTGACTTGCCACAGTGAGTGCACCTGCACCCAGGCACGACAAAGTAAACTGCAAAACAAGTCACAGTAATGTCTGACACTGGCAATATCACAAAAGAGTTTTCATGGGATAAACTTCAAATCATTTTATAACTAGCTACATAACAATGCTGATAGGTCCACACCTTTACTCTACTTTAAACTAAATATAATATTTATTGGAATTTCCTGTCTCAGACTTATTTTACTTCAGAGCAACGGCATTCGAACAATATCAAATCAGGTTAACCTGCTACTCTCAGCATTGACACATCACAGGCCAGGATGTACATTACGACCATCTGATTGTCATCGGTCACCACCAAACACAAACAAAGAGGGGTTCCAATTGTTTTGTTCAAGAATCAACACAAGGTTCCTACTCCGCAATAACCTAAAATATATAATTCAGCTAATCATCAATAAAAAATAAAATGAATTGGGTTTTGTCAACTTACAAGTATTTTCACCAGTGTTTTCCCTGCTCCCTCAGCCTGCTTGTCTGTGTAGGCTTGTTGACTGTACATCATCACTATCATGTACAAGACAGTCAGTCCGACTGACTCCAACAGCAGACCATCCTTCACCAACAGTGGTAGCATACTGCAACATCATACTGATAGTAGTAGCAGCGCATTACAACATTATACAACACCATCTCTAGTGTATGGACCTAGCAATGAAAGAAGCTGTTGATACACAAAGGACGTTAACCATTTTGAGAGTTATCTCCCTTTGTGAACATGTTTGTCACCAGAATGTTGAAGGATGTACTGAATTTGCAGTGTAACAATCACCACAGAGTTGTCTCCCTTCATTAGAACGACGTCTCAATACATAATGTCTCAGATAGATGAGGGCAAATAGAGTTTAACATTGCCTTCAAGATTACTTTATGTGCATGCATGCATATATGGCTGCCTGTACTAATCTGTACTAATGCTGGGCTTAGTAAGTACTAGCCAAATGAGAAACCATGCCACAGTTAACATGGATGATCCACTCAGGCACGATGTAATGACTCAGTATTTGTTTTAATCCCTAAATGGCAAAAGCCAATCAGGGTAACAAGTGGTATAAATCTTTTGACATTTTTTGGTATTATGAGGCCAGGAGATTGAACCCCCTCTGCTATGCATCTAGGTACTCTATCCACTCGGCCACAAATGCCGACTAGGAATCGAACCATCAACCTCTTCTCTTCCAGAAGATACTCTATCCACTCGGCCACAAATGCAGACTAGGAATCGAACCATCAACCTTTTCTCTTCCAGAAGATACTCTGTCCAATAGGCTATGAATGTAGACGAAAATAGAACCATCAACCTCTCCTCTTCAGGTAGATGCTCTATCCGTTCGGACACAAATGAGATCTTCACAGTAGAGAGTTGGGCAAGCCTGGTCATGTATATTCTTTAAGAGATGTACACAAGATCTGATGAAGGGAGCTTGACATTACCTGAATGTGTACAAGATCTGATGAAGGGAGCTTGACATTACCTGAATATGTACAAGATCTGATGAAGGGAGCTTGACATTACCTGAATGTGTACAAGATCTGATGAAGGGAGCTTGACATTACCTGAATATGTACAAGATCTGATGAAGGGAGCTTGACATTACCTGAATATGTACAAGGTCTGATGAAGGGAGCTTGACATTACCTGAATATGTACAAGGTCTGATGAAGGGAGCTTGACATTACCTGAATATGTACAAGGTCTGATGAAGGGAGCTTGACATTACCTGAATGTGTACAAGATCTGATGAAGGGAACTTGACATTACCTGAATATGTACAAGATCTGATGAAGGGAGCTTGACATTACCTGAATATGTACAAGATCTGATGAAGGGAGCTTGACATTACCTGAATATGTACAAGATCTGATGAAGGGAGCTTGACATTACTCTTGAATATGTACAAGATCTGATGAAGGGAGCTTGACATTACCTGAATATGTACAAGGTCTGATGAAGGGAGCTTGACATTACCTGAATATGTACAAGGTCTGATGAAGGGAGCTTGACATTACCTGAATATGTACAAGGTCTGATGAAGGGAGCTTGACATTACCTGAATATGTACAAGGTCTGATGAAGGGAGCTTGACATTACCTGAATGTGTACAAGATCTGATGAAGGGAACTTGACATTACCTGAATATGTACAAGATCTGATGAAGGGAGCTTGACATTACCTGAATATGTACAAGATCTGATGAAGGGAGCTTGACATTACCTGAATATGTACAAGATCTGATGAAGGGAGCTTGACATTACTTGAATATGTACAAGATCTGATGAAGGGAGCTTGACATTACCTGAATATGTACAAGGTCTGATGAAGGGAGCTTGACATTACCTGAATATGTACAAGATCTGATGAAGGGAGCTTGACATTACCTGAATGTGTACAAGATCTGATGAAGGGAGCTTGACATTACCTGAATGTGTACAAGATCTGATGAAGGGAACTTGACATTACCTGAATGTGTACAAGATCTGATGAAGGGAACTTGACATTACCTGAATGGGTACAAGATCTGATGAAGGGAGTTTCACATTACCTGAATGTTGAGATGACCATGAACCACACACTGGGTAGGGGGAAGCTTGGAGCCAGGGCAGCTATAGGCCTGGAGTGAAGACAACCTTAAGCTTAAAGTTTGCAAAAGTTCACAAACACCTTGTATCGTTATTATTTTCACTAATTCGACAGCTTCGATGGGAATACAAGCACACAGAGAAATATTGATTCAAGATTTTATGTCAATATGTTTTGTGTGTATTGAGTGAGTGAGTGATTGAGTTTAGTTTTGCGTCGCACTCAGCAATATTCCAGCTACATGGCGGCGGTCTTGTGTGTATTGATATAGTAATGCAAAAACTGTGCATACTGAGTAGAACCCTACAAACCATGTTTTGAGTTCAAAGTTCCACAAACACAGATAATGTTAGTATATTTTTGTAAGTAAAATGGTCAACAATAATAAATTCACTGACTGCACCTTAAAGCGTTAACACAAACAAGAAGACATGGTAACCAATATCTCCACAGTGTTCTGTTCCTGTTTTGACAACTATTCATTTTTCCTACAAACAGCAATACATAGGTTGTTAAATGAGAAAATCCATCCCCATTGGGGACACTGTTCACTAAGTCAAGAAACGCATGGCAAGGGCCATAACTCTGTAACATATTGTAACACAGTTTCTTTTAACTGACTCCATCAAGGCTTTCATGTCCTGAAAACACAGGTTTCCCTATCTGTGACAGTTTCTGAAAAAAATCTGTCCTCATTGCGGACACTGTTCACTAAGTCAAGAAACGCATGGCAAGGGCCATAACTCTGTAACATATTGTAACACAGTTTCTTTTTACTGACTCCATCAAGGCTTTCATGTCCTGAAAACACAGGTTTCCCTATCTGTGACGGTTTCTGAAAAAAATCTGTCCTCATTGGGGACACTGTTCACTAAGTCAAGAAACGTATGGCAAGGGCCATAACTCTGTAACATATTGTAACAGTTTCACTTTTCGAACTCCATCAAGCCGTTCATGTCCTGAAAAAGTACTAAACTGGTTTCCTTATCAATAACATTTTTTGAGAAAATCTGTCCCCATCATCTCGGACGGAAGGACAGTAGGACAGATTGACGGATGGACAGAGCTCAAACCTATATCCCCTCCCACTTTGTGACGGGGAATAAAAATAGGTGGCAGGAAAGCGGTTAAAGTGTTCACTTGTCACAGTGAAGACTTGGGTTTGAAGTCATACGTGGGTATAATGTGTGAAGCCCATTTCTGGCATCCCTGACGTAATATTGCCGGAATATTTCTAAAAGTGGCATAAAACCATACTCACACACCCACTCACTCACTCACTCACAACAATACAAAATCAGTGACATCAGTTCAGTGCAATAAAGCAATACAATGCCTTCTATTATCATCCAATCAGAAAATAGCCAGCTACATTCTCTTCCCACAGGGGTTACTTGTCATTCTTCCTACGAACCTCTGATCTAATACTGCCCTTTCATGGTGCGAGTGTTCAGGATTCGTGATTGGTTGCAATCAGATCTAGTTGTGCAATCAGCGACATTGTTTTAAAAGTGATCATTCGCAAGGCCTCTGTAATTTCCGTATGCTTTGGGAAAACTAGAACCTCTTTCCCTGCGCGATGCGCAAACATTTCTTCTGGACAGAACTCAGTCATGTAATGCCGGATCAATGGTGTCTCCATCACCCTCGTTGACAACGGACAAGCTTGCCATTAAATGTCTTGTGTGTCACATCAACACAAGTCCCCGGCAGAGGAGGGATATTTGTGGCCCCATTTTACTTGCATTAGTCAAGTTGGATCTAAGTCGATGTTACACATGTTCTGATTGGATAGAAAGAAGGGAGATAATTTGTGTTCCGATTTTTTGCTGCTAGGGGATTTTACGAGAACCGGGAAATATGGCCGTATTAGAACAGATGTTCCTAGGAAGATATGACAAGTAACCTCTGTGGGAAGGGAATGAGTCTGCTAGTGAGCATGGCCTATTTTCAAATGCCATACAATCATTAGTAATATGTAAGTACTTACACTGCAGCCAGGAGTATGGACTTTTCATGGACTTGAAAGGAGAAGAGGAAAAACACTAAGGATGAATTAACCTGAAAGTATAGAATATGATTGGAGAATGTTCACAGCCAGTCTTTCAGCATCCTGTGTTTCCACCATAACATGTCACTAACAGGAGTCATTACCCAAAGTGTTAGAAATAACCCAGTTTACTCACACGTGTCATACACACAACGGTGTTGTTGCTTTTCAATTCTTACGGATGGAATGACCACTTTAGAAACATGAAGAAGAAGATTGTTGAAGTCATTCTACAATTTTATTAAAATCTAAATATTTTAGATATTTAAATACTTACCTTACCATAGGTCGTATGCATATTACCTCAAGCTCCGCTTAAAAGAGATCAGACAGTCGTTGATTCGCCATTCTCTAGAATGGCTGCCTCAAGTATCGACGAGTGTACAGGAACTGAAGTGATGTGATCTCCCCTCTCCGGCAAGCGCGGTCTATCCAAAAATCACTTTTACTGACCAGGTCCGAAGAGCCCAGAGAGGGGAGGAGCATCCAGCGTTGGGAGGGAGTTACCGCCCTATGGTAAGGTAAGTATTTAAATATCTAAAATATTTAGATTTTAATAAATTTTTAACTTACCTTACCATAGGTCTTAAGCATATGGATTCAATAGTAGGACGGTGGTGTCGGGCTCCAGAGGACCGTCCCATGAAGAAAAACAAGACCACATGCCAAGGGAAACCAAGGAAACTAACTGAATCGGCAGACTGTCGCAGGAAGCGCCTGGAACAAGAAACAGATAGTGACCCACGGAAACCCTAAGGAAAAGAATACACCGAGGGCGTACGTTATCCTAAAGACCAGAAGGTAAGGAGAAGTAGTTGCCTAATGGGCGGTAGGTCGGGTGAGTTGCTGGGCAACCACCAGTGGACAAAAAGATTGCAGACCTTCAACACCCTCGACGGACAAATCCTGCAGGGAGTGGCTAGCGAAGACAGTAGAGGACTTCCAGAAGCATCCCTCCATGATGGCTGGAACGGTGCAGTTCCTATGGAGAGCCATGGTGGACGCCAGGGCCCTAATCTCGTGCAGGTTATTGGCTGTAGGATGAGGCAGATCTAGTGCATCATAGTATTCCTATGAACTTCACCTTTAGCCACAGAGGAAAACGGGATGAACAGTCTCTTGCGAGACTGCCTCCTGGATGATGATTCGGCAATATTCATCTTAAGAGCCCTCACAGGACAGAGCAGCTGTTCCTCAGTATCGTGGGGTCCTAAAATGGAAGACAATGGAGGAATGGAGAACATTCTGTCCGGTTGTCCTGGCAGCTGGTTCTTAGCCACGAAATCCAAAACCAGTCCCAAATGAACAAGCCCATGCCATGACTGCTCAAAACACATCCTGGTTACATCCAAAGCGTCTCTCTCGCTGACTCTAGCTGCCGTGGCCAAGGCCAAGAGAAAAGCTGTCTTTCTGGAGAGGTTCTCGAATGAAGCAGTGTCCAAGGGCTCGTAAGGTGGACCTTAGATGCCAGAGTACGATGTTAAGGTCCCAAGCAGGAGGACGAAACTTTGCCTTCTGGTCCTCCAGCTTGAAGGCTTTGAGTACGGCCATGAGCTCCGGCACCTTGGAAATCCGCTTGACCGCCAAAACAGAGTTAAGAGCCGATAAATAAGTTCCGATAGTGTTGCCCTTGAGACGCCTGGACTTCCGAAGGAAAAGAAGGAACTCTGCTATAAACTGAGGAGAAGCTGATAACGGGTCCTTGGACTTCTGTGCACAAAACTTCTCAAAGGAAGTCCACTTATCATCATAGAGTGATCTAGTGGAGACTCGATGAGCACGTGCAATAACCTTGGCTACACCCATGGAGAAGCCTTTGGCCTTCAGTACCTTTTGCAGATGATCCAGCCATACAGATGAAATCGAGTGGGATCGGGATGCAGCTGTCGACTGTGAGCAGGTGAGGCCACTCTGGTAACTGTTGAGGACTTCTGTCGGCAAGACGGCGCAGATCTGGGAATCAGGTTCCAGTTGGCCACCAAGGCGCGACCAAAAGCAGATGAATCGTCTTTGTCTGCTTGACCTTTGCTATCACTGCTTGCAGCAGAACTGGTGGTGGAAAGGCGTATGTGTCCAGACCATCCCATGACAAGGACATGGCGTCGACTGCCCATGCCGCCAGATCTGGAATCGGAGACACGTACAACGGAAGCTGTTTGTTGAACCGAGACGAAAAACAGGTTGATCAGAGGGCCGCCGTGTCTATGACATAGAAGGTTGAAAGCTTCTGGATGTAGTATCCACTCTGTTGGTGACGGCTTGCCTGGCCTTGAGAGAGCGTCTGCTAGGACGTTCTTGCACCCTGGGATGTGCCGGGCTCTGGCTGTGAGAGGAAGGGCTGCTCCAACAACTGCTTGGACCTGGTCGTTCCCTGGTTGCAAATCAACCACACCACCTGGTGTTCCGCAGCAGAGGCGTCCAGTGTCGAACCGCTAGAATGACTGCTTGGAGCTCCAAGTTGTTGATATGCCAGCCTAGCTTGGTGTCGGACCACAGCCCCGAGGTGGTCTGGTCGTTGAGGTGTGCACCCCAAACCTGAAGAGATGCGTCTAGAGGCTGGCCAGCCAGACCCTGGGCACAAGCTTGGCACGAAGCTGTTCCAGGGACACCATCCGGAAGTGAGGCGGCTCCGAAAGGTTAAGGTGGTTGAAATCTGCCATGTTGTGAGTCTTTCTTGGGAACCAGGAAGATGGGTGAGTAGAACTATTGGGGGTCTAGCACTGTCTCTATAGCTTGTTTGTCTAACAAAGTCTGAATGTTGTCTGCTAGCAGTGACTGTTGGTCTGGAGCATACACGCGTGACTGGGGCGTAGTAGTCCGAGGCAGCGACACAGCAATTGGCAGCTTGTAACCGGTCCTGAGAATGTTGGTCACAAACGGATCTTCTAGGACTGTCCAATTGGGCCAGAAGATCCCAAGTCTCCCGCCTACTGGATTAGGATGAACCGGCACGGCTGGGGGCGGGAGGTCCCAGTCGTGTTGGTTCCAAACTTCAGCAACCTGAGTAGGGGCGCTTCCCTCTACCCCTGCCGGGCATCGAAGGAGACTCTTGGGGATGGTCCTGCTGACAGCAGGTCCTGCTGAAAGTCGGGGTCGGACCTGCCACGGCCATGTCCTCTGCTGAAGGCGCTACGGACGGAGTCTCTTCTTGGGACATAACAGCGCTTCCCTCTACCCCTCATAGACAACTTGCCTGGAAAGGCCAAACTCAGAGCTTCGAAAGTAGAACAACAGTCGTCATGGCCAACGCCGTCCAAAGGTGTGCCAGTATATCATGTAACACCTTACCCTGCCATTGGAACAGGGTGGTAAGGTGCTCTGTCCTCGACACATTATCTTCAGTTAAGTCCCAAGCTGCAGCCGGAGTTGCAGAGGCCAACGTCAAAACAGGCTTCAACATCCTCTTGAGCCCAGCGTCAATAGCCAACATCTTAGAGTCCTGCACTCGGTAAGAAGACTGTGGAGAACCCGATAATTATTTGAGGGATTCATCATGAGCCGCACCTCCATCAGCGAAATCCAGGTTATGTATCTTGTAGTCCCCTTTGCGCTACTTAGGAGCCTTAATAGTAGTATTGAGAGACAGTGTAGCAAAGTTGGCAACCAAAGAGGCCACCGGGTGAGGCGGGAGGAGTAACTCAGTAGAAGTCCTAATAGCTCTCGGGTTGTCAGAGCCTGAAGGGGGAGAAAGACAATCCGGCAGTCTGTCGGCAATCCAGTCAAATACAGCAGATAGGGGGAGGTAAGTACCCCCATCATCTTCCTCTTGTAACATCTCTTCATTATAATCGGGAGAAAAATAGAGCTCCTCAGCATCCTCCCAGGCCACGGTAGTAGCATTATACCATTGGCCAGAAGCAGCAGGCGTCGGGCGCTGAGATGGCAGCTGAGAAACAGCATTAAAGGTAACTGTAGGGGAACATGGTCGTCACGACGAGCAGCGAAAAGGAGGCGACCTTGAACGGGACGGACGGTCAGCGACCTTGAACACCTCTCCCTATCATTGGGACGTCTGGGAGAGCGAGACCTGGAATCAGACCAACGACGGCGATGACTAGTATCAGAAGTATACCGAGGAATTCGAGAACGATGGCGCTGTTGAGGAGACTTAGAGTGAGACTGCTTAGAACGACGGGAGCGCTTGGCTTCCTGGCGTCGGGAACGCTCTTCCAATACCTGACATTGAAGATCCTCCTCTCGAGACAACGTAGACACAGGAGCCTTCTTGGGGATATGGTAGTCTAACAACGGCATTGGCGTTGGCGTCGGCGTCGTGGGAGGCGCTGGTTGACGCACCAATCCAGCAACGTCAGAGCTAGGTGTCATGGCCGTCGGCACTGGAACTGCACTAGGCAACTCAGAAGTTGGTGTTGGGACAGTCCTTAGTAGCTTCTGTACCTCCGGATGAGATAAGGCATCCGGCTGAGATAAGTCCACAAAAGCGTCAGACGGGCGATGGGCATCAGGCGTCAGCATACTCGGCGCAGGTGTAGACGTCCGTTCTGCCAAAGGAGAGGAGTGTCCGCCCGGCGTCTGTGGTACAGAAGATCTGGAGCCCAACGATGAAGCAGGTGAAGACATTTTCCTGTTACGCTGCGACAACCGTTTCTTCTTGGCGGCGGTATAAGCCTTGAAATTGGCGACGGATAACGGCGTACAAAAATGACAGCGCTCAGCAAGAGAACAGACTACAGAAGCGCAGTCTGGACATCAAGGGTGGGGATCCTTGGCAGACTTCTGCACCTTGCAGATACAGCAAAACAGCCAGGTCATGCACACAAAGGCTGTAACACACGAAAAGAAGTGAAATGTAAATACTACGCAAACCCACAGAATAAAAAACCTCTGCAGAGAAAATGGAAACATCTCTGCAGCAAGAATGGGCACGCCTAAGCAGAGTAAACAACCAAGATGGTTGCCGAGAAGAGCGTGAAACACAAGAACAAATTAGGCAATAATATCAAGAAACACAAGACCAAGCATGAACATTATGGTGAAAATACTAAACACCAAACATGCCTAGCGGAGTGACACTCACGAAGTGGGAACACACCCCACACCGCAGTGAGAAACACAAGGCAGCCAGGTAAGTGAAATTTGCTTGAATTATGTTCTTCTCCCACACAGAGAAGAATATAGGATATAAAAAGAATACATACTTACAACAAAACTTTAATATCTGAAAGAATCAGTAAGTAGCGAACTAGCGAAATAAAAAAACGTCTGACACACAGTACGCTTGAAGTAAAAGTGATTTTTGGATAGACCGCGCTTGCGCAGAGAGGGGAGATCACATCACTTCTGTTCCTGTACAGTCGTCGATACTTGAGGCAGCCATTCTAGAGAATGGTGAATCAATGACTGTCTGATCTCTTTTAAGCGGAGCTTGAGGTAATATGCATACGACCTATGGTAAGGTAAGTTCAAAATGTAGTTTTTGAAGATGGTGGTGATTATTGTTTCATTTCACTAAAAGGGCAGCTCAAAATGACAAAGACATAACGATTATTAAGAAAACAAAAAACACATGTATGTGTGTTGTGCTGATTTTATGACTCTTGTTACAATTCATGCACTACCCTTGCTGCTACTGCCCAAACGAAGAATTCTAAAACTCTTTTTGTAAAAATTAATATTACACACAGACAAATATAATTTAACAAAGAAAACACTGATGTGTTTATTCTGGTGACAACTATGGAGAAAGAAAGAGTGTTAGTTTAACCTGAACAAGTTTACAGGTGAGCTAACTAAAGTTCCACACTCCAGCTCTGTATCATGAGTCCTAAAACACTGCTTATCGGATGTACAACTGCTCACTGTTACAAGCTTACACGACAACTCACAAGTGCTAGTTTGAAGTTCTCGATGGTTGGTTTGGTCAGCACATGCAACGACGATGGCAACAGCATGACCAGTGTGGAACCGAGGCTGAAACAGACAGATTGTGGTCAGTATCACAGATGAAAAGAGCATTCAATCATTCAAAACCGACTGAGTATTTATCACATTGTTCTTTATTTCATCCTTTGTGGTCCAACCCAATGTCAGATCAGATCGTGCTGCCACCTACAGTTACTTTGCATCCTGGTAAATCATCTTGGCTACCCTGGCAAAACACTTGCTCACAGAAAGTATGAATGCTGCTATCTTTGATTGGCATTAACCAGCCACAGCAACTTACCACATCAGAACCAGTTTTTCCTGAACTATCAGTTGTTTCAGCTTCATTACCACAGACAGGCTGCACCAGACGTTGGCCACCTTGTCCTGGAACAAACAACTCAGGCTGACGGAGGGAATCAGGTTCAAGATCACTGCTACAGAGAATCTAGTCTGGAATCCCAACACACAGACAAGCATGGGATACTGGGGACGTATTCTGCCCTGATATCAACACAAGCATGTTGAACAGGCCCTGATGCAAGCATGAGGCATCAGGGCCTGTTCTGCCCTTGTATACACAGCCAAGGGTGAGGTACAAAGGACCTATGACCGCCTCCATGGTGTAGTGGTTAGAGCATCCGCCCGGAGAGCGGAAAATCGCGGGTTCGATCCCCGACCGCGTCATACCAAAATAAGTTAAAATATGGCACTTGTTGGTACCTGCCTGGCACTCGGCATTAATGGGTACAACAAGGACTGGTCGGCTCAGAGTCAGTATACTGTGTCTGAGTGGAGTATTCATGCTTCACTGCGGCATGGTATCTCAGTGTGCTAGCACTATAAAACCAGCTTAAGTCTGGGCTAGTACAAGCAGCCGCACATACACATACACATGCATGCACGTTGTCATATTAGCGAAATATTCTCAAGCACGACGTTAAACCAAATTTCACCTCATCTCACAAAGGACCTATTATTCCCTCGTATCTGCACACAGACAACATGTGGTCTGGAATCCCCCATGACAGTATGGGGTAAAGGAATTGAGTGAGTGAGTGACTATGGTTTTACGCCACTTTTAGCAATATTCGAGCAATATCATGGCATGGGACACCAGAAATGGGCTTCACACATTGTACTCATGTGGGGAATCGAACCCGGGTCCTCAGCGTGACGAGTGAACGCTTTAACCACTGTGCTACCCCACCGCCCAGGTTAACAGGAACTATGTTTCCCTGCTACATCACCACAAGGAGATAACAATTATATAGCTGTTACTGTGAATGTACTGGATATAAGTACATGTGCACTCCCTGACATCACTCTCACCTCGTACAATCCTCTGTTGAAAGGGAATAGTCTACGAAGAACAGCAAGAGCACTGTCAAGGTCAGAGAGGAACGGCAGCCAACACGTCACCATGGTGATGATGACCACAAGGCCCAGCATCATCAACTTCAGGAAGCTACAACACAGAAATACAATGAGGAGGGAGTCTCTACTCTAGGCTGGGACACTACACTCACACCACCATCATCAACTTCAGGAAGCTACAACACAGAAATACAATGAGGAGGGAGTCTCTACTCTAGCCTGGGACACTACACTCACACCACCATCATCAACTTCAGGAAGCTACAACACAGAAATACAATGAGGGAGTCTCTACTCTAGGCTGGGACACTACACTCACACCACCATCATCAACTTCAGGAAGCTACAACACAGAAATACAATGAGGAGGGAGTCTCTACTCTAGCCTGGGACACTACACTCACACCAGCATCATCAACTTCAGGAAGCTACAACACAGAAATACAATGAAGAGGGAGTCTCTACTCTAGCCTGGGACACTACACTCACACCACCATCATCAACTTCAGGAAGCTACAACACAGAAATACAATGAAGGGAGTCTCTACTCTAGCCTGGGACACTACACTCACACCACCATCATCAACTTCAGGAAGCTACAACACAGAAATACAATGAGGGAGTCTCTACTCTAGCCTGGGACACTACACTCACACCAGCATCATCAACTTCAGGAAGCTACGACACAGAAATACAATGAGGGAGTCTCTACTCTAGGCTGGGACACTACACTCACACCAGCATCATCAACTTCAGGAAGCTACAACACAGAAATACAATGAGGGAGTCTCTACTCTAGGCTGGGACACTACACTCACACCACCATCATCAACTTCAGGAAGCTACAACACAGAAATACAATGAAGAGGGAGTCTCTACTCTAGCCTGGGACACTACACTCACACCAGCATCATCAACTTCAGGAAGCTACAACACAGAAATACAATGAGGGAGTCTCTACTCTAGGCTGGGACACTACACTCACACCACCATCATCAACTTCAGGAAGCTACAACACAGAAATACAATGAGGGAGTCTCTACTCTAGGCTGGGACACTACACTCACACCACCATCATCAACTTCAGGAAGCTACAACACAGAAATACAATGAGGAGGGAGTCTCTACTCTAGCCTGGGACACTACACTCACACCAGCATCATCAACTTCAGGAAGCTACAACACAGAAATACAATGAGGAAAGAGTCTCTACTCTAGCCTGGGACACTACACTCACACCACCATCATCAACTTCAGGAAGCTACAACACAGAAATACAATGAAGAGGGAGTCTCTACTCTAGCCTGGGACACTACACTCACACCACCATCATCAACTTCAGGAAGCTACAACACAGAAATACAATGAGGGAGTCTCTACTCTAGGCTGGGACACTACACTCACACCACCATCATCAACTTCAGGAAGCTACAACACAGAAATACAATGAGGGAGTCTCTACTCTAGCCTGGGACACTACACTCACACCAGCATCATCAACTTCAGGAAGTTACAACACAGAAATACAATGAGGGAGTCTCTACTCTAGGCTGGGACACTACACTCACACCAGCATCATCAACTTCAGGAAGCTACAACACAGAAATACAATGAGGGAGTCTCTACTCTAGGCTGGGACACTACACTCACACCACCATCATCAACTTCAGGAAGCTACAACACAGAAATACAATGAGGAGGGAGTCTCTACTCTAGCCTGGGACACTACACTCACACCACCATCATCAACTTCAGGAAGCTACAACACAGAAATACAATGAAGAGGGAGTCTCTACTCTAGCCTGGGACACTACACTCACACCAGCATCATCAACTTCAGGAAGCTACAACACAGAAATACAATGAGGGAGTCTCTACTCTAGGCTGGGACACTACACTCACACCACCATCATCAACTTCAGGAAGCTACAACACAGAAATACAATGAGGGAGTCTCTACTCTAGGCTGGGACACTACACTCACACCACCATCATCAACTTCAGGAAGCTACAACACAGAAATACAATGAAGAGGGAGTCTCTACTCTAGGCTGGGACACTACACTCACACCAGCATCATCAACTTCAGGAAGCTACAACACAGAAATACAATGAGGGAGTCTCTACTCTAGGCTGGGACACTACACTCACACCACCATCATCAACTTCAGGAAGCTACAACACAGAAATACAATGAGGGAGTCTCTACTCTAGGCTGGGACACTACACTCACACCACCATCATCAACTTCAGGAAGCTACAACACAGAAATACAATGAGGAGGGAGTCTCTACTCTAGCCTGGGACACTACACTCACACCACCATCATCAACTTCAGGAAGCTACAACACAGAAATACAATGAGGAGGGAGTCTCTACTCTAGGCTGGGACACTACACTCACACCAGCATCATCAACTTCAGGAAGCTACAACACAGAAATACAATGAGGAGGGAGTCTCTACTCTAGCCTGGGAAACGACACTCACACCACCATCATCAACTTCAGGAAGCTACAACACAGAAATACAATGAGGAGGCAGTCTCTACTCTAGGCTTGGACACTACACTCACACCAGCATGTAGTCTGACTCTGGACCAGTCCAATCAGTGATTGATTATTTACACAACTCCCTTTCAAGTTATGGATTTGTATATTGAATACTTTTACTGAAAGACATCCTTCACAATATTACCAACAAACAGGTCATTGACTGTCAGAACAAAGATTCCACTGTGGAATATGATTGTGGCTTGTCATGTAAACTATCATGATGCATTAGTAAATTCATGTCCTCACACACTCTCCTATCCAAAGTTCCATGCGGCAAGCCACCATAGTACCTCTCACTCTCCTATCCAGAGTTCCATGCGGCAAGCCAGCATAGTATCTCTGCCACAGGCCAGAAAAATGTGACAATTCGTCACATCTTGTACCGTCCATTCAATATAATTTACATATTTCTCAACTCTTTTATTTTTGCCGAGTCTACACAACTAATTAAACATCTTTGATAGAATGGTTTAGTTTCATTGAGAAAATATCCTAAAACATGTAACACTATTTCGATTTGCATAGCGATCCTTTGTTTACATAGGTTGTACGGCTCCACGTGCTGTCATCGAAGCTGATGGAGAGCAAACGATGCAGCCAGTTTGATATCTAAATATGTACTGTCATAGACCTTACTGCCGCAGTTGTGGAAGAATATATATGTAACAATGTAAAACATTATGAAGAGAGCGCCGAAAAGCTTTCATGAGTCCAGTCTCTTCTTATTATGAATATGCGCATTTGTTTACAAACAAGAAAAAAGTCTGGTCACATGATATGCAAATTAGCCTGTGGCAGTGATGTTATGCTAAGTCATCACTGCGCCGGAGTGTGGTCCTCACATACACCTGTTACCAAAACCTCTGTTGGTTTATAAGGACATTTGATCAAATCATGGTAATTCTGTATGTAAATTAAAAAACAAACAGACTAATGAAAAAATAGAATAATAGCCTTGTTTGCAGCTACATAAATAACCAACAGGGTGATAGGCATAAATATGAAATTTTTAGAGTAAAATCAATATTTTTATACTTATCCTGACTCATGTTTATTTGCTTGTCTTCTTCTTCTGGCGAACCTAGTGGAACACTTGTATCTCCCAATTGAAGCTCCCTTCAATAAAAAATCACTCATTAGTACTCACCCCGAGTTATCTCCCTTTCCGAAGCGCGGGAAGGAGGGCGCCACCTTAGCCCATGTGCCTCACTCTCTCCTTTTCGTTTTGAGCCCAACACTTTATTTTTCCCGAGAAATCCAAAGTGTTAAGTGGGGAGGACGGGAGGGCTTACCTCATGAGTCAGGATAAGTATAAAAATATTAATTTTACTCTAAAAATTTCATATTTTTCTTATCCTGACTCATGTTTATTACTTTGTAGAATCCTCCTACGGAATAGGAGGTGGGATTATATATACTTTGGATTTTACTAATTAGTGATTTGAACTGAGATGATTGTAATAACCCTAAGGGAACTTCATGAAGGCACTGAACTGAATTCCTGCTGTTAAATTAACAGTAGCCTTTAAATAGGTTATTACAATTTACTGAATATAATAAAAGTATATAGAACATTAATAAGCTAGAGCCCTTAATGTGGTAGTATAAACTGTAGATAGTTTATAATGAATACTTTTATAAGAACCAAAGTAATAAGCTTACAATATGCATATATATAAGCTATAACATAACTGTGCTTAAGATATAATGATAACTTAAGCTGTATAATAGTAACCAACTACTGCGAGTTTGTTAACTAATACATGTTATGAAATGAACATATGATAGAGCTTAAGGAATAACTTAAGCTGAACATATATAATAGTAGAACTCGTACGAGTTGTAGGTATTATGATAAAGAATCATAGTACAGAACTTAAGATAATATTTTAACTTAAGTAAAAATATATGTATATAGCATATAGCTATTAGTACTGTTATCAGATAAGTATAAAAATCATCAAGATAAACTTATCTTCTCCGTGGAAACTGTCAACTGTTGAGCGAGGGACCATGGGACCGAAATGGTGGATACCTGAGGCGTCCTTGGTGGTGATATCTCTCAGATAATGGTTTGCAAACACCATCTCAGGACCTCCAAAAACATCCCTCCATAATGTTGTTCAAAGAACAGTTTCTATGTAACGCCAGAGTTGAGGCTAGTGCTCTAATTTCAGTGAGGATTAGCAGCACTTGGAGGGTTCAGTCCTGCTGCCTTGTAGGCTCTTAGTATGACAGTTAGGATCCAAATAGAAATGGTAGATGCTTGCTGACACTTCTGTCTGTGAAGTGGTAGATATGGGGATAAACAATCTTTTGAATTTCCCTCTACTTAGCTTGGATCTTTGGAGATATATTTTCAATGCATTACAGGGCAAAGTGATAAGTCCATCGTATCCTCGCGGCCCCAGTATGGAAGAGAGGGCTGGGACATGGAACAACCTGTCTGGTTGACCTGGTAGTTGATTTTTGCTATAAAATCCCAGCCGAAGTCCCAGATGGCGATATTATGAATATCATCAAATCGTGGTTCTCTCATAGTCCAAAGCGTGAATTTCGACATTCTGGCTGCAGTGGCTAACGCTAGCAGGAATAAGGTTTTGTGGGTCAATGATTCATATGACACAGATAATAATGGTTCATAAGCCTCACTTGTGAGGTGTTGAAGTACCACGTTAGATCCCATGCTGGCTTGAAACTTCCGTTTCTGATCTTCCAATCGGAGGCACGTAGCAAAGGCGAAGTAATTCCGGTGTTTGGTCAGTTTGCGCCCGTTCTCATAGTAATGACTGAGCTTATGGCTGCAAGATAAGTGGATAGTGTAGATCCTTTGAGATTCTTAGTTTGGACGTAGGAACCATAAGAAATCTGCCACTTGAGGATGTGTAGCAAATCTGGCTGAAAATCCTTTCTTAGCCGCATAATTGACAAATCTGAGCCATTTATCGTCGTTATAAATTACGAAAGTGGAATTACGTGAGTGCAAGCGTGATAAGCCGCTGCTCTGTTGGAATAACCTCTCTTATTCAAACACGCCTTTGATACAATCCACACGTGCAGTCGGAATGCCTCTGGTGTTTTGTGCACTTGTTTGGTGTGTGGATGTATCAGTAGATTGGAGCGCAGTGGGAGCTGAAGTACTGGTTTTCCGATTCTTCGTATGAGATCTGGAAACCACGCTCGCTGGCCAGTAAAGCGAGAGACCAAAATCAGATCGAGGCTCTTCGTTTGACTGATTTTTAGCAAGACTTGTGGGATCAACGCAGGAGGAGGAAAGCGTGCATCGCGTTTAGTCCTCTCCACGATATGCTTAGTGCGTCCGTTGCCCATGCTAGTGGGTCTGGTACTGGCGAAAGCGAAGGTTGTCAGTTGATTGTTGAATCGGGTGGCAAATAGATCTATCAGAGGAGATCCTATTTCCATGATTATCTGATTGAATATCTCTGTGTGGAGCATCCATTCTGTCGGCGATGGTTGGTGTGGCCGAGAGAGAGCGTCTGCTAACACATTCTTTGCCCCTGGAATGTGGCATGCTTTGATATGTATGTTTAGACTGTCGAGTAGATCGAACAGTTTGAAACATCGAAAGTGAGTAGATTCAGTGATCTTGTTGACCCTTGTTTGTTCACATAAAACGCCACTGTGGAGTTGTCTGTATGAATCATTAACTGAGCGTTCTGTAATAGGTTGCTCCAGTGATCTATGGCGTTTATGACTGCTTGCATCTCTAGCAGATTTATGTGACATAAGCTCTCTTGAATGCTCCATAGGCCTGGCGCTGTCCTGCCGGAAAGGTGGGCTCCCAACCTTTTAGTGACGCATCCACGTAAAGGTGTGTTTCGATTCGGCTCTAGTAAGGAGGCAGCCCTCATGAACATTCAATCTCCTGGTCCACCAGAGTAGATGTGGTTTGACGTAATCTGGTAGACTGAACGTAGAGGGTCCTCGAGATGGGCATTGATGAGGACTTGTAATGGACATAATTGGAGCCTGCCTCTGAGTGTCAAATCTTGAGCCGATGTGAGTAGTCCCAGTAGACTCTGCCACTGTCGTAGTGGTAACGGAGAGAGTAGGGCTTGGGGAATCATTGTTGTATCTTGATCCATCTGTCCTCTGGGACTATCATACGGTTCTGAGCTGTAAGGAATCGTATACCTAGAAACTGCAGATCCTGCGTGGGCTCTAGGTCCGACTTGCGTAGATTTACTAACCAGCCTAACTGCGTTAGTAGCTTGATTGTAAAGTTCAGCTGTAGTCTGAGACGCTGTGGATGTGTATCCACCTGTATGCCGTCGTCTAGGTAAAATGCGCTCCATGGCCTTGACGATGTAGATATGAGACCATAGGCTTGGTTATTCTTGTGAATATCCATGGGGCCGAAGTGATTCGGCGAAGGAAGTACTCCATTGGTAGTGTATGCCGTCTAGCATGAATCTCAGATATTTCCTTGAACTGGGATGAATCGAATGTGTAGGTATGCATCCTGCAGATCTATACTTACCATGTAATCTAGTGGACGAATTAGATGTGAAGTTGAGGTAAATGTATCATCGCAAACGCTGGTGGTTTGCATAGAAATTCTCTGTTGAAAGTGCTCATGTTGTAAAATGGCGATACTTCTCTTGGAATTCTTTTTCGGTACTAGGAAGACTGGGGAATAGAAACCTGGTATGATATTTTGCTGATCGAGAACTTCTAAGGCCTGTTTGTTTAGTAGAGACTGTACTGTTTCTCTTAACATCGGTAGTAGTGCCAGATGAACGTTGAACCCTGGTGGGTTGACTGTTAACGGTGGCTTGGCCTTGAGTTGTAGACGATATCCGTACCGAAGGATGTTGGATACATACGGGTCTTGAAGTATTCCCCAGTTTTCCCAATGAAGTTGTAATCGTCCACCCACTTGAGACGGTTGTACTGGGACGACTGGGGGTGGAAGACTCCAGTCGTTCCGAACCTGACTTTCATCGTTTATATCCACGGCTAACGTATCCATAGATCTAATCATGAGTACTTCTCTAGAATCTTTAGATACTTCCTTGGAGACCTTGTTAATGTTGCCACCAAACAGTAACGGTGAAGACCATGGAGCTGTGTACAGGGGCTCTGTGAATTTGTTATTCCAAGAGCATGAGGCTAGTAATCCTTGCCGACGTGCCATGGTAGTAGTTTCCGTTAGAGTTGAAAGATGGTCTGTAAGGAATTGATGATCTTTCTTCTGCATAAGTAGAGCTGAATAGATCATCCTGTCCTCCTCATCCGTAGAGTTCTTGAACTTAGTGATGAGCGTTTCGTTAATAGTCCTAGATCTATTAAGTCCGAAGAACATTCTTCTAGCAATGGTATCTAAGTGGGCCATCTTGCGATCATCAATCCTATAACTTCTGGACTTGGAATCATTGATAATCTTGAAGTTCTCATCGATCTCCTGAGTCTTGAAAAAAGGCTCCATATTATGTCCATAGAATTGCTTGGCATTGAAGATCGGTAAGTGAGGAAGATGGGATTTAGTAGATTTAGAGTAAGTTGTATCCAGTTTAGCAGGAACGGCTGCGATAGGATGCACAGGAGGTAAGGTGATATGATCTACGTCATCATCTTTCATCAGGTAAGTTTGGGCTGTATCCTCGTTCTTGGAGGGAGAGGCCAGTTGTAATTCATTTACCATCCAATACCTTATCTCAGCCTCTGAGAATATGATACCATCGTCTTCCTCTGACGTATGGTCGTATGTCGGAGACCTCGATCTGTAAGAAGATCTATGTGAGGACTGAGGAGAACGGACTGACAAGTGGCTAGTGTATGTAGATCTTGGAGAGGATATCCTTTGCGGAGACTGTGGGCTACGTGAACGGTGATGGCTTCGTCGACGCTGCGGGCTTCTCGGACGATGAGGGCTGCACGAACGTCTTCTAGGCATTGTAGAACCACTTAGCCTGGCGGCGTCTTGCGCGCAATTGTCTGGAGTCAGTGTCCGATCCGACATATGAGTGTTTGCTGCGCCCTTCGTACATGACAAAGGTGCGTGCTAGGCGAAACACCTCCTTCCATAAGCCTCTTGTAAAAGGTCAGACTCTAGCTCCATCTCGGAGTAGGCCTGGGATACCTTATGCAAAGAGCTCACTCCGGGCAGGGTTGCCTTCCTTGGCGAGGCGCCTGTGGGCTCAGGGCCCCTCACGCGAAGTCAAAAGGCGGGCTCTGGGGCCCTGTATGACTTAGTATGGGGTGGGCTCTGGGGCCCGTGGCTCTCGAGTCAGTGGCGTTGTTCCATCATTCTCATGATGTGGTTGATCAAGTCATCTGGGCGCTCTGCGTTGATGAGGATGTCTCTCTGCAGAAGTGGACGGGACCCTCAGATAGATGTATTGGTGATAGCATCGGCATCTCGGTTGTGTGTCCGCTCTGCGCCAGAGGTGATAGTCGCAGAAACGGGCCGTTTCTTGTGACGAACTTCTGGAATGATAAGAGGCATATCATCATCATATAATGCTAATTCTGTAACTGGTAAGATATCAGAAGCAAATTTATTAGATTTAGTTGACTTCCCTTTAGATGACGGTGTAGATCTTGGAGTACATAGAGTGCGAGATGATGTGGCTGGTTTCTCGACTTGGACTGAGACGACGGCAGCTCTTGAGATGCAGGTAAACTTCTTGGACATAGCGGACTTCGTCCCCACGCTTATCGCGGGAAACTCAGGTATGTCACCAGCCCGGTGGCGAGTCCTCAGTCAACAGTTGACATGAAACATTAATTTTGCGATCTATTAGCCATGTTTGAATTCTGTCACGAGATTTATCTGCCTTCCGTCTGTAAACGGAACATAAATATTTGTCAAAAGCAGAGATAGGTAAATTGTTACACAATTTACAACGAGAATCAAAGGAACATGGAGTAATGCAGCTAGGCATTTTAAATGAGGATCGATCTCAGAATAACATAGTTTACATTCTGTGCAAATTTTCATCAATGTAGCCTACTGAACAATCACGACAATTCGTGAATAAAACAGCAGAAACACAATTAATAATCAATGCAAATTGAATAAATATACTAGTACTACCTCTATACTAACGTATAAGAGGAACTTAACTAGATTTAAATAAAGGATATGTGTGTTGGGAGACACAGGCGCTCTCACGTCCAGCTCACTGGGCGAAGAAGGAGAGAGTGAGGCACATGGGCTAAGGTGGCGCCCTCCTTCCCGCGATTCGGAAAGGGAGATAACTCGGGGTGAGTACTAATGAGTGATTTTTTATTGAAGGGAGCTTCAATTGGGAGATACAAGTGTTCCACTAGGTTCGCCAGAAGAAGAAGACAAGCAAATAAACATGAGTCAGGATAAGAAAAAATAAGGTAATTCAATGGCATGATGCAATGAGACATTCTAAGTGCATAAGAACTGACTATCAGTAACACGGGCCAATGACCTTGCTGTACGATGGACAATGATGTGAAACACTGACCCCTTGGGTAAGGACACCTGGAAACAGGATCCCAACAGGTAGCAGAAGAACGGCATGGCGTGATACAACTCCATCTGCTTGTAGTTCAAGGCCAACATGAATGCAACAGACCCAAAGAGGTCATGACCTTTGTCTAGGAAGGTCATTGCCAACAGTGCCAGACCAAGGCTCACACCATTGTATCTAGGTTCATAGTTAAGGAAGAAGATGATTTAATTGTGTGATGATGCACCAATAAACCATATTCTAGCTCGACATTGTGTGATACTCAATTCTGATTGGCTGAAGGCTCACCAAAACCGTACTTAAATGTCAGTTTAAGACCGCTAATTAAAGTGACCGATTCACAGCGTACGAATACAGTGAACTCGTTGACCCTTTTGTTTGCAAACAAACATGTAGGACATCGGCAATTCTACCTCGGCAGCATCTTTGATGTTTTTGAAATAAAAACCGAATGGTTTGAAGAAGAATTTCTTGTCAGTAATCCCAGTGAACAAACTACGAAGCTGGAAAATTTGTCAGCGCTGCAAAAGCAGCAGTATTCAAACCGGGTCTAGATCTAGCAGGCATGACGTCAACTACACACTCGGTTAACACGTCTTAACCTGACCGCTTCCGTCCCGGTGTAGCAGCCCAGAATAACCCCCACACCAGATTATACCCCGGGGTAAACTAAACTAAACTTAGCAGGCTCACGACTGGCATTGGGGCGAGTCGATTGTCATACAGTAGGGGAGATCAATAATTCGCTTGAGAAAAATCAAATAATTGTACTTGCTCACAGTATAAACTGTATTTTTTTAATTTATGTATGCTACTTGTTACAAATACAAGCATACTGGTTCCTGAAATAAAGCATTTATGTTGTTGAAAATGTCTTATATTGTTCATTACACAACCTGTCCCTGAACGGGAGGATTCCAAGCGATTGCCAGGAAAAAGGCCCCTTCACGCCCTGTGTTCTTGCTCGCCAAACAGTTTGGCTTTAAAACGCTTATCAGTCGTGCTAGAATGAAGATAAAGCTACTCTGTTTTCAATGTTGTGGTCATTTATCGTTCATTTAAGACCGCTAAAATAACATTTAGCGGTGTTAAATCAACGATAAAGGACCGCAAAATTGAAATCAGAGTAGCTTTATCTTCTAATTTCTGTACATTCACATTCATTGAGTGTTAATAAAATCAAAGATGATTGATAAAGCTTATTCAATGGAAACCAGAATTGTAGTGGCAACAAAACAGGTAAAACATTGTTTTGGCAGAGCAGCCAGATGGATGACAGTGTCTGTCAACTTGAGCCCTGAAACTTACCAGGGCTTTAGTTCTGCTCCACACATGAGGTGTTAGATGTCTCCAACACAAGTGACTTTGTATGTATAAGATATGCCTCCCTTAAACAAGCCGTGAATGAGTGTATATACCATAGAAGGACAGGGAAAAGTGATACATAGTCGAAATGATTGATCGAGAGACTCTGAGTCAGTATTAAACAGTGACGTATGATCAACACCCTGATGACACCATGGTGGAGCTTGATCTACAGATCATTCAGGTGATTGGTGTAGATACATAAGGATACTGAAAGTGTCCATAGTCGATGAGGATGAGCCCGGGACTCAGCAGCAGGGCCATCGCTCCGAAGATCTGTAGAGTAAGTAAAGTCTTATTCATTATCAGGGCTAATGTAAAAGTACAGCTACCTGTACAAATCACAAAAACAACGCGAATCAATCCACAGCCCTTTCACACAAAACAGTGACTGTGAGTGAACAAATTCAGTCATCGTTCGTCACTGTGACTTTATCTGTAGTGCAGTAGGGATACTCTAATCTTAATATAATACATGACATTCAAACGAAAGTGTGAGTGAGTTCAGTTTTACGCCGCTTTTAGCAATATTCCAGCAATATCATGGAGGGGACACCAGGACCCCGTTTCACAAAGCTCTCGTAAGCCTCAGATCTCGTAACTTTTCTCGTAGCATTCGTACCTCCTATGTCACAGTATAGGAGATTCGAATGCTACGAGAAAAGTTACGAGATCTTAGGCTTACGAGAGCTTTGTGAAACGAGGCCCAGACATTCAAAGGAAAGACATTCAAAGAGAAACATTAAAGCATTTCTTAAAATTTCAGTTTTGGAACAAACTGCTACCTACAAACATGGTCGTAAAAATCATGCTTGATATTTATTGGATTCGAACCCACAATACCCAGATCCTCATATGACTAAGAGATGCAACTCTGTCCATCTCCAGAGACAACATGGCTACCTGTGCCCTTAGATTCAGTGTACTGACCTTCTCCTTGGCCCCCAGCCTCCACTGTGACATCACATAGTACAACACTGCCGGGACGAACACCACGAGATCCGCAGCCAGCACTGGAAACAAACAAATCAGAGTTTCTTTATGCTGTTTGTTTGTTTATTCATTGCCACATGCAGCAGTATTATGATGGCTGTCTGATAATGGGAGTCTGACTGATGGTAGTCTGAGCTATGTACTTTCTGTACACCTTTGACAAGTGTAAATTGGCAGATAGTGATATAAGATCGAAAATAATTGAAAATCGATCGAAAGAAGGAATAAAAATGATCATTGATTGTAAAAAACATATTTTCGATTAATCGGAATATTGTTGTTTTTGTATAACACCCTTGAATGAAGTAACTAACCATCAAATTTGACAAATATTCACAAACAAACATGTGCTCAACAGCATAAAGCTTTGCACACTGTAAAATTTTAATCACTTTTATTGTTTAATTACAATTCCAGTGCATTTCATTGCAGGACAGCATTAGTTATAACACAAACAACCTTTATTAGAACAAAACTGGGGAAAAACCCTTAGAATTGGTGATTACATTAAAATTGTATATATTTCATTATAATCGATAACCATTCACCACAATCCTCCAATATTCGATAGTGGATTTGGTTTCCGATTCCCAACACTACTGGCAGACGTCCCATGGCCATGGATAAACAACTCCTTTTAGAAGGTGATCAAATGTAACAACAACTGTCACCTTACTTGTGAGAAAGAGTAACAAGGTACATGATCTAGACTACCAGTTGTTAGACTCCCATGTTTGTGGAGGCCACAGTAGCTGAGTGGTATAGAACGCTGACTGTGTGTGCTGGTTGGACTCAACACCCAACACTACTTTACTTTATTTGTTACTGCAGTATATTCTGAATCAGGAATCTGTTAGGAAAACATTGTCAGGACAGCATAAAAGCCACAGTGTACAAACCTGAGTGGTGTTGAAGAGGTATTGTAGTTACAGGTGAGGTGAGGTGAGGTGAGGTGAAATTGGGTTTAACGTCGTGCTTGAGACTATTTCGCTCATATGACGACATGCATGCATGTGTATGTGTAGGTGCGGCTACTTGTACTAGCCCAGACTTAAGCTGGTTTTATAGTGCTAGCACACTGAGATACCATGCCGCAGTGAAGCATGAATACCTCACTCAGACACATTATACTGACTCCGAGCCGACCAGTCCTTGTTGTACCCATTAATGCCGAGTGCCAGGCAGGGACCATCAAGTACCATATTTTAACGTCTTTTAGTATGACGCGGTCGGGGATCGAACCCGCGACTTTCCCCTCTCTGGGTGGACGCTCTAACCACTACACCACAGTATAGCAACAGAGTGTGAGACTTACCTGAATATCGCATGAAAAGCTTGTGTTGGTAGCTCTCGTACCCCCGTGATGTGTTGAGGGCCACCCAGTCAGGGTTGATGAGTCTGGCACTGCAATACATTCACAGGACATAAACAGTTACTCAGAGGTGTTGAATGAATAAGTTACATTAGCTGACTTTGTGTACTGGTGATAATGTGTCTGACTCTGAGAGTGAGGGTTCACATCCCAAATGGGACTCAACATAATAAAGTAATAGACTCTGAACTTTACTGAGAAAGTGTAATCCCAAATATAACATATGACCATTTTCTAAGTTTCATAGTGTATTCATGGAACAAAATGTGTTTTATTGACAAACATGGCAGTGAGAAATATATCTCTAGAAACACAGGATGAAATCTTCATTTAAGCAAGATGTGTGTTTCATGTTTTATGACACAACCAGACATTGGATAACTGTTATTCAGTATTTGTAGCCCATGGGCCTTTTGTACAAACAGAAGTACAGTCTAAGCTCAAACAGTAAAACAACACATGTCTCTTTTGGAGGGAAGACTGACTGACTGAGTTTGGTTTTATGTGCAACTTTTAGCAATATTCCAGCACCATCAAGGCAGGAGGACACCAGAAATTGGCTTCACACATTGTACCCATGTGGGGATTCAAACCTGGGTCTTCGGCGTGACGATTTGGAGGGAAGACTGACTGACTGACTGAGTTTAGTTTTACGCCGCTTTTAGCAATATTCCAGCAATATCACGGCGGGGGACACCAGAAATGGGCTTCACACATTGTGCCCACGTGTCGATGTGAAGTAACAATTGTGCCCATGTGGGGAATCGAACCCGGGTCTTCGGAGTGACGATTTGGAGGGAAGAGGGGCTGGTGGCTAACAATACCAATTTCAACAAAATTGCATGTTATGAAAATTGTAGTATTGTGTTATTATTATTATTATTATTATTATAGGATATTTATATAGCGCACATATCCAGGCAACTAGTTCATGCTCAAGGCGCTGGTGTTTGATAGCATTGACATAATACAAGTACTTTACTGTACTGATATGGATGGTAGGCTCTTGCAATGACAGAAGTCTATTAAACGGTAAAACATAGGTCTACAAGTGATGAGTAAAACATATTCAATAAAATGACACTGTCAGCAAGATCACACCTTCTGTATTACAGAATTCATTAAATAGGTCGGCCTAGACAAACCAGAAGTTGATATTGTGAACAATCCCTGGGCAATGTTGGAACACAATTAATCAGGTCACTGATTCTGACCCCAGTCACCTCTCCCACAGCCCATTATCCATATGGGTTGTTTCCTAGGGAGATAGGTGTCTAAGGCTTGGGTTTGCACGGATGTACAAAATGTCCCTTAAAAACAGCTCACATACTAAAAAGAATACAAGATTTTGCATGTATTATCGACACCTGGTTATTCACAGCCAGTAACTGTTTGGTAATTGAAAGGTTCTTCCCTCAGTGAGGCAATAACAAGACGCTCACACGTATCCACACACATAGCTATGGTAGGCAGTCAAGGGGGGATAATCCAGACCCCAATACAGCAAGTCGTTTTGTGTAGTGTTCTTGTACCTGAAAACAAAGACTTGTCAATCAGTTCATCAACTTAATAATTGACCACTCAAGTTGACAGTGGGATTGCATCACTTTTTATCTTACACCCCACTGAGAAATCATTACTGAGTGAGTGAGTTTAGTTTTACCCCGCACTCAGTAATATTCCAGCTGTATGGCGGCAATCTGTAAAGTATCAAGTCTGGACTAGACAATCCAGTGATCAACAGCATGAGCATTGATCTACACAATTGGGATACGATGACGTGTGTCAACCAAGTCAGCGAGCCTGACCACTTGATCCTGTTAGTCACCTCTTATGACAAGCTTAGGTTACTGAAGATCAATTCTAACCCAGATCTTCATGGGTCGAAATCGATACTGACTTTTCCTGGTATGCAAGAATAACAAGACAGTAATTCACTGAGAAATCAGTAATTGCAGCATAATTAACAATTGTCATCGCATCATTTCAGCTTCAGTGTAGATAGTCCACAGTGTGGACCTCATGTTTGTGAAACCAACACACTGTTGAGTTAAAATAATGGGGACAGGCAGCACAATTTTCTGTGCAAACTTTGTATGAGTAGACTCACAGTATTCAAGCAAGAAAGTCTCAGGATAAAATTTTAAGACTAAGAGTCGAGCTGTAATTGTACCAATGTCACCAATATATATTTCCTGACACAATATTCTTCCCTGCAAGAACTAGTGGTGTTAACCATACATTTTGATACACACACGTTGTATATTGGACAAAAATTTCCTTAACACTTTCCTAAATGTCAACTGATTTGGCTCATTTGTAAGATGTCAAAATGTAACCATAGTAACTGAACCAACCATTCTCCTGGCGGTAAATTCAGTGTTATCTCCTGCCAGTGCCTCTGGGCTTCATAGTCCCCATACATTGGTGGAGTCTTGTGACCTGCAAACACAAAGTGTAACATATAATGACATGCTTCCCTTTCCACACATATGCACTGATTTCATAGGGGACAGGTTGTCATCTGAGGCACAGCAAGTCCTGGTTTCTCTGTGTTGAGTTGTGTACCTTAGACATGCAAGAGATTTATGATCATTGTTTTGGACAATATTTGATTATAGCACAGAATTTCAGATTTTGGTTTGAGGAAAGCTAAACTCATTCATAGACATTTGACACTTTGGTTAAATCTATAAGCTTGATCTCTGGGTGAAAATTTGAACCCCAAATTATAGAACATGGCACTATAGGCATGCCAACTGACACATCTCTGCACAACAAACTAAAATGCCTAGGACAATAAGGTCACCTAGCTGTAACTGTTTACAGTTTAGAGCAAGAACTTAATTGAACATGGCATTTACCAAATCAATTCTGAACTGAAGTGACATTCTTTTCTTTTCATATATTTTATTTTAGCATGGGCCCAATTCTAAACTAGTTTTACTGTAATATTATAGTTCAAATATAAATTCGATTAGATAGCTCTATAGATTTTCATACTCTACCACTGGACAAAATATCAAATGAATGCATCTCAAGTCAAACTATTGGTTCTGTGATACAAGTCATGGGTTGTTTAGGTTTTTTTTTTACATTTCTTCAACATAGGAAAAAATGATACAGCAGTACAAGGCCTAAATTGTGTTTAGCCGGCACATTTCCGAAATTTGATTTGTGAAATGATATAAATGTAAACCTGAATATGAATTGAGAGACACTGTCCATCGCAGTAAGATTGCTGCCACAGTGATGCAACATATTTTTGCATCGATAGCCATGTCAGTCTTCCACAAGTTTAAACAGAAGAATGCCGAATCTGATCTTGTTTACATCCCTTGCCACGCGATGCCAGGACCCGGAAGTGATGAACACGGTGGATTTCAACTGGTTCCTGGCCCTGTTTGCGCAACGGTGACTTCATATAGAGATGGAGCCCAGCTTCACACAGCGACCACCCTCTCCATACATTACCAGCTTACACTGTAGGAAGCTTACAACTCACGCGCTGAGATAGAGCCTGCTACTTCGAGGACTAGACTGTCTCCTTTGATGCCAGTTGATCGGGTCTTGTCGCTATGTCTCTAATCTTCACGGTCATGACATGCTTGATCATTTTCTACATAAAACCCTATTATATATTTATCGGCTTAATTCTTTACTGAAAGTCTTAAGCAGCCATGTATTCGTTTGTCATTCGATGTAAAGCTGGATATGTCATTTTTATTTTCAATACTTTTCATAAATTACCACCACACACACACCCCACACACACCCGCTCTAAAACGCGTTCCATCGCCCCTGCTCTAAGACCCTGTCTGAGCCTATTTGTCCAGAATATGTACCAAAAGGACACTGATTGGCACATTTTTTAGATTTAAAGAGCGCTTCCAGTAGGACCCGATCTCTCAATCGGCGTAATAGTGAGTGAGTTTGGTTTTACGCCGCTTTTAGCAATATCCCAGCAATATCACGGCGGGGGACACCAAAAATGGGTCTTGGCGTAATAACCTGTTTCAAAATATATATACTACTCAAAAGAAGTTACGGGTCAAAGGTAGATTTCATCATAACATTTAATTATGCATAGCAAACATATAAAACAGAATTACCAAGCATGATTGTGGTTAGAATTGTTTTATGCTGTCCTAAAGCAGAGCAATGGGAGCAAAACATGCGACCTTAGCAAACACAATAATTGTGGCAATCCGCTGAAAATTGACGGTGCGAAATCATTTACAGCACTTCATTTAATAAGAGGCGTGAGCGGTGTGTGGAACCAGCACTGGGATAGTCGACATTGGGCAAATGTCGTATACTGTGAAAATGTTTTCTCTCGACTTCCACGACCCAAGTAAACAAGTTCGGAGACGTCTACTGATTGTTTTATGGACGTTCACTTCGTACAGCATAATCCTTTGGTTGGCGTCGGGGAAGGGGTGCGTTCATATTGTACAGGGTTTTCTAACATTTCGTCTTTGCGGGACTTTAGTTAAAGTTGTTAAGATCTACGAATTGCACCTTTGGCTATATATCCTCCAACAACAGGTTTACGTCCGTGAAAAAACTGGATTGTTCGGGATCCCAGGGAAGACAACAGTTCTCAAGGAACCCATGCTTGTCGTGAGGAGACAACTAACTAGATCAGTAGCATGTCATTGTATCCCAATTGCGTGGACTGATGCCCATTATTCCATTCACTGGATTTTCTGGTCCAGACAGCCGACAAAAAGTGGACTTTTACATAACAAGCCAAGAAACATATATAGTGTTCATACCATCTGGTCACTTTCTTGAAACGAACTAAAGTATCAACACACTCTCGACTTTACTCCACTTCCCATATCAGTAAATACTGCATCATTGTTCTTAAAGTGATACGGGGCGGTGGGGTAGCCTAGTGGTTAAAGCGTTGGCTCGTCAAGCCGAAGACCCGGATTCGACTCCCCACATGGGTACAATGAGTGAAGCCTATTTCTGGTGTCCCTCGCCGTAATATTGCTGGAATATAATAATGATGTCAATATGACATCGAATAGATATTTTATAAAATCTGCTTGCTCAAAGAAAAAGAATGCGCATATATTTGAAAAAAAAATCATACGAGCAGATAAATCACGACCAACTGTGCACTTATTATGATCCGTGTCGATGACCGATCCACACAACTACCGTCATCATGGAATGGACCCAACTCACAGCAGAAAATGTACCACTAACCCTGTGACCAGACTCGAAGGGGGGTAACTCTGCATAAGAGCCCAGTTGCTTCAAGTGTACATACATTTTCCTCTTGTTGACATATATTTGAAAACTCATCTGTTTGACAGCTGCCGCTTACGCTTCAACGTATACATCTGATAGTACAGAATGTTATCACATGCTTTGTGAACGAAGATTAGTTTCAAAGAGCCAGGAACAAAACCTCTTGTGCAAAGGCATCCGTAGACATGGATTTTGTTCACCCAGCACAGTCGGTTTTGTGTATCTCAACAAAAACATTAATGTATATTTTGTTCGTTACACAGAACACATTATGGTTGATAGCTACGGCCAAATGCTAACACATGACGTATCAGAAATGGATACTTTTTTACTTTGTACATATCGCTTGTATTTCAGCCCTTCTACAGTCTCATACGTATTTAAAAGATAATATATCCCATTCTTGTTATCACAGATCTAAACAATTTCTCACTTGCGCTTTCTTTTCTAAACTCTTTGTTACGTGTGAGTGTTTCATACGTGTTTGGACCATTCAATACACATGAAGTATTTGTGGGTAAACGATTTTCACCGCTGTTGTGTCATTTCCGCCGAATGGAATCTGCTATTCTCTTGCAGCGAGGTTTTGTTATGAAAACAAAAAATATTCCTGCAAGCAGAACAGTTTGTTTCCTCGTTGAAAAACGTTAATGTCTTTGTGGCTACGTGCAGGGTCCCGTTCACTGGTGTATATTTTGTCTAGCGCTTGTACATAAAACATCATATACGGTTGCAGCTGTAGCCAATGTCACAACACTCAAGGGAATACTTTCTCCCGTAGTAGGGTTAGTGAGTGATTTGGGATATCATTCCTGTATTCCAGGTATATCACGGTGGGAAATCAAACGAAGGTGATATCACTTTGGTGATACCCATGAGCATAAGTATGGTGCTGAAAAACCGTTTAGAAACAGTACCGTTTTGAACCGGGATTTGAACCCACAAGTATAGCTTTCTGCCAAGAGACGCAAATCAGACCAGGAAACAGCGGCGTCTTAAACCACTATACCACCCCCACCCACTCCACTCCCAAACAAAGCAAAAACAACAACAAAAACAACACGACATAACAATTAAAAAACATACAAAACAAATATAATAAAACAAACAAACAAACTGTTGCGTGTGTATTGTGTAAGCCTTTAACAACTAGTTGTTCTCAACCTTAACTGTTATAAGCAATTCGTGTTTCAAAATCAAAATGCTTGAGCACATATTCACGAATATATATGTATTTTACGAATATAATAAATTTATATATATATATACATAGAGAGAGAGAGAGAGAGAGAGAGAGAGAGAGGGGAGAGAGAGAGAGAGAGAGAGAGAGAGAGAGAGAGAGAGAGAGAGAGCCTTTGGCGAGCATAATACGTATTTTTTATTCCTAATATATGATATTATAGTCTGTTTGCAGTGAAAACGTACTGATGAATTTCACTTTAAACTAAAAACTAAATCAAGTAAAGTGAAGTGAAGATTGCAAATCATCATAATTTTACCTTGCCAATTAAACATTAAAATCTCAGAATGTTATTTCACCTAGGATAAAAGTTGTTTAACAAACGTTCATAGATTCAAATCGCTCCTATTGGTTTGTATTACAAGGGAGTAAGCGCAGTTGTGATGAGCGTTAACTTAGACCAGCCCTACTTGTTCTCGGTGTTTCATTTAATGGGCATACCCCTTTGTAATACAAACCAATAATAGCGATTTGAAACTATTATCGTTTGTTTAACAACTTTTATCCTAGGTTGAATAAAATTCTGAGATTTAAATGTTCAATTGGCAAGGTACAATTATGAGGTTTCGCTATCTTAATTTCACTTTATTCGAGTTACTTTTGTGTTCAAAGTGAAATTCATCGGTACGTTTTAACTGCAAACAGACTATAATGATACAGAAACCCCGAGGTTAATAATCTCTTTATCATGTAATGTCATTCTTAATATTACTCTTTTACAAAGAACCAAATCGTTCGTGAATTTATATGAAGAGAATCGAGCATTCGCGTAAGAATACTTAGCCGCTAATACCGTACAGTGCAAACATAACTCATGCTTAAGATAAGATCTTTCTGTCAAAAAAGAACAACAAAATCGGGCAGTGTTTTCTTGGCAGTGTTTCTGTTTTCATTGCAGGTAATCGCCTCATCAATATCAGTTTCTGATACCTGACGGAATCAATTCATCGTCTGTATAATGTATTGTGATCGATAGATCGGAATTCTTGGTTACTACCTTTCTTAGACGATCTCAATTCTTCCGTAATCACCAATACAACTTCCGTGAAAACAATGAAGCGGCGATTCAATTAAACAGTCACAAAGGCACACTTTACCAAATCGTTTAATCGCTACAAACATTGTGCAGACTATGTATATTTAGTTACGGAGAAAGATTTGAGTGACGCACCTATTATGTCAAGGTCATAGGTCACACATCTCAAATGTAGCCAAGCGCAGAATACCATTGTTTTCTACGTCCAATAGGCGTACACTTCCGCGATTTGTGGCGGAACGAGATGCGGGTTAGGAAAACAAATAGTCCCACGTGAAACTGGGTAACCTACAAATATACAGCTGTCATTCATGATCTTGCAAACCGTGTGTGACGTCACAGGTACTCACGTGAAGGAAGCACGTGTTTTACATATCCTGGCTTAGTGTGGTCTTGTTTGAATAGTCGGGAATAAAGCACTCAATTCACAACATTGTCCAGTTGGAGTTGAGCGGTACGGTTTTGTGAAGCACATCTGTGGGTTTATCTTGAAGAATTTGTAGGCTATATTTACTTGTTACCGTGTTCGGATGCAGAGAAATACGCCACATCTCGGAACACCGGGTGTCATCACTGTTATTTTACAGATAACACGTGTATTATAACATCTACTTTACAGAGAGCACCCTGTACCATCATTGTAACTTTATATTGAACACATGTTACATCATAGTTACTTCACATCGACCACCTTGTGCCATCATTGTAACTTTATACTGAACACGTTACATCATAGTTACTTCACATCGACCACCTTGTACCATCATTGTAACTTTATACTGAACACGTTACATCATTGTTACTTCACATCGACAACCTTGTACCATCATTGTAACTTTATACTGAACCCATGTTACATCATTCTTACTTCACATTGACAACCTTGTACCATCATTGTAACTTTATACTGAACACGTTACATCATAGTTACTTCACATCGACCACCTTGTACCATCATTGTAACTTTATACTGAACACATGTAACATCATAGTTACTTCACATCGACCACCTTGTACCATCATTGTAACTTTATACTGAACACATGTTACATCATTGTTACTTCACATCGACCACCTTGTACCATCATTGTAACTTTATACTGAACACATGTAACATCATAGTTACTTCACATCGAACACCTTGTGCCATCATTGTAACTTTATACTGAACACATGTAACATCATAGTTACTTCACATCGACCACCTTGTACCATCATTGTAACTTTATACTGAACACATGTAACATCAAAGTTACTTCACATCGACCACCTTGTACCATCATTGTAACTTTATACTGAACACATGTTACATCATTGTTACTTCACATCGACCACCTTGTACCATCATTGTAACTTTATACTGAACACATGTAACATCATAGTTACTTCACATCGACCACCTTGTGCCATCATTGTAACTTTATACTGAACACATGTAACATCATAGTTACTTCACATCGACCACCTTGTACCATCATTGTAACTTTATACTGAACACATGTAACATCATAGTTACTTCACATCGACCACCTTGTGCCATCATTGTAACTTTATACTGAACACATGTTACATCATTGTTACTTCACATCGACCACCTTGTACCATCATTGTAACTTTATACTGAACACATGTAACATCATAGTTACTTCACATCGACCACCTTGTACCATCATTGTAACTTTATACTGAACACGTTACATCATTGTTACTTCACATCGACCACATTGTACCATCATTGTAACCTTACAGTGAACACATGTTACATTAATGTTACTTCACATCGACCACCTTGTGCCACCATTGTAAGTTTACAGTGAACACATGTTACATTAATGTTACTTCACATCGACCACCTTGTGCCATCATTGTAACTTTATACTGAACACGTTACATCATTGTTACTTCACATCGACCACCTTGTACCATCATTGTAACTTTATACTGAACCCATGTTACATCATTGTTACTTCACATCGACCACCTTGTGCCATCATTGTAACTTTATACTGAACACGTTACATCATGGTTACTTCACATCGACCACCTTGTACCATCATTGTAACTTTGTACTGAACACGTTACATCATTGTTACTTCACATCGACCACCTTGTGCCATCATTGTAACTTTATACTGAACCCATGTTACATCATTGTTACTTCACATCGACCACCTTGTACCATCATTGTAACTTTATACTGAACCCATGTTACATCATAGTTACTTCACATCGACCACCTTGTACCATCATTGTAACTTTATACTGAACACACGTAACATCATAGTTACTTCACATCGACCACCATTTGCCATCATTGTAACTTTATACTGAACACATGTTACATCATTGTTACTTCACATCGACCACCTTGTACCATCATTGTAACTTTATACTGAACACATGTAACATCATAGTTACTTCACATCGACCACCTTGTGCCATCATTGTAACTTTATACTGAACACATGTAACATCATAGTTACTTCACATCGACCACCTTGTACCATCATTGTAACTTTATACTGAACCCATGTTACATCATAGTTACTTCACATCGACCACCTTGTGCCATCATTGTAACTTTATACTGAACACATGTTACATCATTGTTACTTCACATCGACCACCTTGTACCATCATTGTAACTTTATACTGAACACATGTAACATCATAGTTACTTCACATCGACCACCTTGTGCCATCATTGTAACTTTATACTGAACACATGTAACATCATAGTTACTTCACATCGACCACCTTGTACCATCATTGTAACTTTATACTGAACACATGTAACATCATAGTTACTTCACATCGACCAACTTGTGCCATCATTGTAACTTTATACTGAACACATGTAACATCATTGTTACTTCACATCGACCACCTTGTACCATCATTGTAACTTTATACTGAACACATGTAACATCATAGTTACTTCACATCGACCACCTTGTGCCATCATTGTAACTTTATACTGAACACGTTACATCATTGTTACTTCACATCGACCACATTGTACCATCATTGTAACCTTACAGTGAACACATGTTACATTAATGTTACTTCACATCGACCACCTTGTGCCACCATTGTAAGTTTACAGTGAACACATGTTACATTAATGTTACTTCACATCGACCACCTTGTACCATCATTGTAACTTTATACTGAACACGTTACATCATAGTTACTTCACATCGACCACCTTGTACCATCATTGTAACTTTGTACTGAACACGTTACATCATTGTTACTTCACATCGACCACCTTGTACCATCATTGTAACTTTATACTGAACCCATGTTACATCATTGTTACTTCACATCGACCACCTTGTGCCATCATTGTAACTTTATACTGAACACGTTACATCATGGTTACTTCACATCGACCACCTTGTACCATCATTGTTACTTTGTACTGAACACGTTACATCATTGTTACTTCACATCGACCACCTTGTACCATCATTGTAACTTTATACTGAACCCATGTTACATCATTGTTACTTCACATCGACCACCTTGTACCATCATTGTAACTTTATACTGAACCCATGTTACATCATAGTTACTTCACATCGACCACCTTGTACCATCATTGTAACTTTATACTGAACACACGTAACATCATAGTTACTTCACATCGACCACCATTTGCCATCATTGTAACTTTATACTGAACACATGTTACATCATTGTTACTTCACATCGACCACCTTGTACCATCATTGTAACTTTATACTGAACACATGTAACATCATTGTTACTACACATCGACCACCTTGTACCATCATTGTAACTTTATACTGAACACATGTAACATCATAGTTACTTCACATCGACCACCTTGTACCATCATTGTAACTTTATACTGAACACATGTAACATCATAGTTACTTCACATCGACCACCTTATTGCCATCATTGTAACTTTATACTGAACACATGTAACATCATAGTTACTTCACATCGACCACCTTGTACCATCATTGTAACTTTATACTGAACACATGTAACATCATAGTTACTTCACATCGACCACCTTGTGCCATCATTGTAACTTTATACTGAACACATGTAACATCATAGTTACTTCACATCGAACACCTTGTACCATCATTGTAACTTTATACTGAACACATGTAACATCATAGTTACTTCACATCGACCAACTTGTGCCATCATTGTAACTTTATACTGAACACATGTAACATCATTGTTACTTCACATCGACCACCTTGTACCATCATTGTAACTTTATACTGAACACATGTAACATCATAGTTACTTCACATCGACCACCTTGTGCCATCATTGTAACTTTATACTGAACACGTTACATCATTGTTACTTCACATCGACCACATTGTACCATCATTGTAACCTTACAGTGAACACATGTTACATTAATGTTACTTCACATCGACCACCTTGTGCCACCATTGTAAGTTTACAGTGAACACATGTTACATTAATGTTACTTCACATCGACCACCTTGTACCATCATTGTAAATTTACAGTGAACACATGTTACATTATTGTTACTTCACATCGACCACCTTGTACCATCATTGTAACTTTACAGTGAACACATGTTACATTAATGTTACTTCACATCGACCACCTTGTACCACCATTGTAAGTTTACAGTGAACACATGTTACATTAAAGTTACTTCACATCGACCACCTTGTACCATCATTGTAAGTTTACAGTGAACACATGATACATCACTGTTACTTCACATCGACCACCTTGTACCATCATTGTAAGTTTACAGTGAACACATGATACATCACTGTTACTTCACATCGACCACCTTGTACCATCATTGTAAGTTTACAGTGAACACATGATACATCACTGTTACTTCACATCGACCACCTTGTACCATCATTGTAAGTTTACAGTGAACACATGATACATCACTGTTACTTCACATCGACCACCTTGTGCCATCATTGTAAGTTTACAGTGAACACATGTTACATTAATTCTACTTTAAAGTGACAAATATTGCGCCATAATTGTAACTTCACAGTCATGACATAGATACTCTTTATACTGTGACCGTTCCTTGGTAACATTTAGTTATTATATTTAATAAAGAACTTATATATATATATATAGGGCGTAAACACGTTTTTGTGCTCGGACCCGTCTATCTTTTGTTCCCATACCGTAAATAATAGTTCGTTATTCGATGAAAATAAGTATTTTTACTGATAAAGGAAATATGTTCCTCCAGCCTTATTAATGTTTGACCTTTCAACTCTGCCCTGACTCTGTCTTCGCGAGCATATCGTACCTGTCCGCAGCAGAATATATGTGTGAACTTCGTAATGCCTAGACGCTTTATCTGATGAATGTGCATGGAACGTTCTTTTCGACCCTAATATTGGTCATATGTTAACCTCGATGGAGTTATCTACCTTCCAATATTGTGTTTGGAAACGAGTCACGTTCGTCGTTATTCAGGTCGTGTTCCCTGCATAAATCTGAAACTCACGCCAACATATAAAAGCGCGGGTGTTTCATCGTGCGTCTCGCCGCGCCAGACACGCCAACATCACCGACTACCGACAGCATCTGACTTCAGATGGATCTCTTCAAAATCACCATTATTTTATTGTGCGCTTTCTACCCAGTTCAAGGTAAGATAGTTCTTACTTATAAATTTTTAATTAATAAGTGTATATAAACAAAGTATTTAAACAATGATGTTTCAGCTATGCGTTTATTCAGCGTTATTTATTTCAATGTGTATGCATAATACATCCCAAATAAAAAATATTGTAAATGATGAAGCACCATGTTATCAAGTGCTGATCATTCTACTACTGATTTGAGATACATGTAGGTCTATCTTTATTCATGACTTGATTCAACCGAGTTACAACATACCACTTGGGTGGTATATTTTAATAGTAACTTATTATGTGTCAGCGAAACAAAGGGACATATATATGTGTTTTGTCATATACACGATATATGATATAATATATATACTATTAACGGGTATTATAACGTTATTGTATAACGTCTTCATTACGGTACATTATGAAATCTAATGAGATGAAGATACGCTGCTATCATAAAGCTAGTTGTTGTTTTATTCCTATCGTAATGTCAATATTTCTTCCCTCCATCCTCCAGTGATGATGCAACATTACCTCAAAGTTATGCTGTGCATCTCAGACTCAGATACCGTTATCTGTGTAAGGCATATCAAAGTACTCGTGTTAAACCAATCCCGTTCGTTCTCGGGACAACGCCCACATTTAGCACAGCTGATAGAACTATTACCCCCTCGTTGACGCACACCTAACTATCAGGGGTGATAACATATAGGTATGACGTAGATTCACAAACCAAAACCAGCCAATCAGCGCCTCTCTCCTGGGCAGCGCCCGCTTCATTGATGCCGGGAGGTGAATCCATTGCAGATTGTGTTACCTTCACCTTAGAGAGAATGCAGTGCTACAGAACGCCTACCTCAGCTTAGGAGACGCAACTAAGAGTAAGAATGATAAAATGTTTACAAACAGTAAAGGTGTAGTTGTTTTCATATAAAATCAAAACGTTAAACTTTATGCTCGTTGAAACTTGATAAAAACAGCATTTTTACAATATTTTTTGTACAACCTGGAAACAGGGATACGAACTGCATTTTGTTTTGAGTTAACGGGGTGTTCACTGTAGTAGCAGAGACAAAATCTGAAGAGTTCATTGGCAGCTATAGTCTGTTTGCAGTGAAAACGTACCGATGCATTTCACTTTAAACAAGAAAGTAAATCGAATAAAATGAAATTTTGATTGCGAATCCTCATAATTTTACCTTGCCAATTGAACATTAAATCTCAGAATTTTATTAAACTTAGGATAAAAGTTGTTTAACAAACGATCATAGTTTCAAATCGTTATTATTGGTTTGTATTACAAGGGGGTATGCACATTAAATGAAACACCGAGAACAAGTAGGGTTGGTCCAAGTTAACGCTCATCACGTACCGCACGTGCATTTGTTTCAGTGTTCAAACTACTACGCTTTATGAGGATTCGCAATCTTAATTTCACTTTATTTCATTTACTTTTTTGTGTAAAGTGAAATTCATCGGTACGTTTTCACTGCAAACGGTCTATAATGTATCGGACGTTAAAGTAAAACATATGAAATTGAAATGTGCAGTAAATGTTTATGTTCAGCCGGTAATGACGTAATAGACAACGACGCAGTAATTACTTGTGTCTTTCAATACTGGCCTTTTAAAGGGGCTGTTTGATCTTATTGTTTCAATTATCTTGGAATTATGACGTAAATTGAACCATTCCAGTATAGACTTGTGCGAGTCTGTTCTGTACTAAGCTACCGCGGATGGAACAATGCATAGACCGCTGTCCCACTAACACAGATGGTTCTCTGTCTGGCGGCAAATGTGGTGACTTTACTACCATTCCTTAAGGCACCTAACATCTGTTCAGGCAACAGGCATGGAAAAACATTCCACATACATATCAAGCGATCTTGTTTAAGAGAGTTTCACAGTTTACTGACACATTTGCCAGCAACAATTACTTACACGAGTAGAGCTTGTTAAAGGCACAGACAAAAACGATAAATGGAGTCTGCTGCAGTCATTAAACTGTCACGTAACCTCAATAAAAATATGTTAAGTGATGTTTATGGAATTGGTGAAAATGTTTGCATATCCATGTGTTGCAAATCATAAAAAGCTCAAGTCTTGAATCTCGCCATTACACAATGATCCACCAAGATAAGCGAAACTGTTACATTGGCTGTCTGAAAGCTCCAGGAATGTGAAAATTGGGTAATTATTTTGGAAAACCGTGTCAAATTTCGCAGACCTCTGCACGTCTCATTGGAATGAACATTCAGTCCCGCTTTCTATCAGAACAGTTCTGATGGTATTTGGGAAAAGACAACCAGAACCCAAAGGGCATCTATTGTATGACAGAACAAAAAGCAGCCTGACGATGAACGAAACATTTGAGAATTGAATTTTAAGCAAAATTGCAAACGTTATTAAAACGTTACTTGACCGACAACAGTCCCTGAATTACTGAAAACACATACGGAATATATCACCATCGACTAACTATATCTTATTTATTTCATTGTTAGACACTATTAAACATAGATCACATATTCTATTAGCGCGGAACAACAAACTGAGTGATATCAATGTTTTATGCTCCTCTTAATAACAGTGACGCAACATGAACACAACCTAAGATGTTTGGTTTGACAAATAGGTTGAACACCAGAACCTTTCATCAAGGATGAAGTACATATGAAGAATCGAACCTGAATCTTTGATTGAATGCTGTGTTAAATCATTAATTAGATGTTTAGTTTATGCCCAGATGTTGGACATGACGAGTAAACGCTTGCAGTAATGAGTAGATGATGTTTTCACTTTCTTAAACCGGAATCCGCCTGCGCCCCTTCTTGGGAGCAGGAGCCGAATTTCCACCAAACGAGGAGGCGCTTTGACAACCTGGCTAAAATCAAGACATGTCTGCTTGGCCTACAGTTGAAGTTCCTTGAACTATAAAGATATTGTGTGGCCATAAAACGGTTATCTGCATACTAGTATACTAAATGCATTCTTCAGGAATATTGCTAAGTACTTGATAGCATGGATGTTTGAGAGTAACATGAGCTAGAATATATGTAAGTGTACTACGCACGGCAGATAACTAGTGAGTTTTTTTAACACAGGAATAACACACCTTCCGCTACGGGGATATCTCAATATTGGCATACATACTGATCGGGTCTTCAAAGGTGGCCTAGTCTAAAGCGGTGCATTTCGTAACGGGTTGGGTAAACAAGAAATGTGAGTGAGTGAGTTTTACGCCGCTTCTTGCAATATTCCACTGTTCGAGTAATATCACGGCCGGGATACCAGAGATTGTCTTCACACATTATACCCAACCCAAGAAATGTAATATTGCAGGTTCGAATTCCGGTTCCAATGGCTCCATGTTTGTCTCTAAATCTGTGCTCGTGGGTACAACGTCATGAACGTCTCAAAACCTACATCACTTCGGCCTTTCCTCACCCGTCTTGTTATATCAGGAATACTGTAACAAGCGGCGTTAAAACCTGTTCACTCACATACCCATGAAACTCATTTTCAGATAACGTCTATATATGCTATATCAACACCAGCACGTTTGGACTTTCAACACAGTGATGAAGAATTCCGTTTAAGGTTGAGTAGTGGGCGGATTATATGGAAGTGGACGAACGTGGAAGGGGCATCATTCACGTTGTAGTCTGGTAACTTTGGACGTAAACGTCGTCGACAAACAACAGCATCATACTACCTCGTCTGTCTTGCGTTACTTGGTCTCCATGGCTGTAAACGTGTTCATTTTTCTATTATACAAACCCGTTTGTCCTTTTGAGAGTCAGTTTTGACATAACGCATAAGTCGTGACGGGGATGGTAACAACATGTGAGGCCCATTTCTGGTTTCCCCGCTGTGAAATTGCTGGATTATTGCTAAACGCGGCGTAAAACTACACTCACTCACTCACTCAATTACTCGTGACGGGGATATTCAAGCTAGATAAAACCTTGATCATTTGCCTATTTTAGCTAATTTTTAACAACATTAATATATTATACTGTAACACTTTTCCGGTCCAATAAAATGTCAATAAAAGTCAGTACAAAACATAGCAGTCGAAACGGCATACCTTTGATCGCCTGGACGAAATACTAGTCCAGATTTGCTCATAAAATGACTTTCCGGCAGTGTCAAGAAGTGATATTCCTCTTTAGATACTGGCTTAGATGCGCGACGCGCTCTTTAATTTGGCACTAAAAGTCCAATATTTCAAACTTTGTCTCCTTTGTTTCATTGAAAAATGTCTCAAAAGATCATAAATGACGTTGTGCCTCCTATTTCGAAAACAGGAATGCATCTTCACAAAGACAAATACCATTCTTTTCTTTATTCTATTTTTTTCCCTCTGTAATGCCGATGGCTTGAAATAGACGGAATATCTGGCAAGATGTGACAGATTATATACTTTCTTCCCAAATAGTTGGAAGTCGCTATAACCCGTGAAAATCAGGGTAAGAATTGATTTCCAGTAGCCGTTCTTGTCGTAAGAGGCGACTAACGGGTGGCCAGGCTCGCTGACTTGGTTGACACGTGTCATCGTAGCCAATTTCGTAGATCGATGCTCATGGTGTTGATCACTGGATTGTCTGGTCCAGACTTGATTATTTATAGACTGGTATATAGCTGGTATAGTGTGGCGTAAAACTAAACTCACTTACTGAATTGAAGTCGCTTTATTCCTACCTCTCGTGAATGCTCTGCTGCTGGAACAGTCATTCACCGCTATCTCACACCCTATGGAATCTGGTTTGGTGGATAAGCGAGACTGTTTATCCTCTGGCTTTTAACTCATTCAAATATACATCTCATTCAAATTGACTCTTAACGGCGTACAATTCTGCAGAATGGGTTTAAGCAGGACGGGGGTAGAGAGGTAGTTTGTAAGGGCACCGAAGCCGGTGGTGGTAACGATTGATAAAACTATACTCATGGAAACAAATAAGGGAACACATGAAAGTTTTCCTTTATTCTTTTCCAGGTTTCTTCACAAGCTTTGTATTGCAGTGTGGGCGAAATTCTGGAAATAAATTAAGGAAACTTGTACTTTCATTTAATCCCTTATTTGTTTCCGTAAGTATATTAGTAATGCTGTAGTTGGAAATAGATCAGTGTCAGTCAATCGGTTGAAATATAAATGGTTGACTGTAATTAGTCAAGCCTTATCGAAAGGTACTTTCCATCAGATACAAAATATCCTAATGACACAATCACCGAGACATCTATTACATGAATTACAAATCTCACCACATGGCTGCCGAAGGACCGTATCACCAGTAAACATGAAACTGCCACCTGCTTATTGAAATACTAGTGGTCCAACAGTTTGCACAGTTTACATTTCTCCAGGTAAATCTCGTAATTTAGGTTATAATATTTAATATTGTCTGAGTATATATCTATATAAGTTTGCCTCGTTAGTCGACCAGGTTAACCTACATATTAAAAAGATAATACGACCCTATTTAGAATACCATGCACTTCCCGTATTACTGGGGCAACGTCCGCTCCACATACATATATTCACCATCCCATTCCGTTATCACGGAATGAGTATAATTATGCAGATATAAACATATATCTCTGATCTTTCATAGTGCTCCTACCGATAACGCCAGTAGGGGGGAGGTAACTCTTATCTGAGTTGAAGAGGATAACAGAGCCTAAGTCTGTCATTTGACGTAGATAGCTGGTGTGAAAGATACTATGGAGTTGATGTACATACTTTATGGGTTTTCATGCTGTGGGTGATATTTAACGCCTACGTCATTGCAAGGTGTTTTGTTGATGACTAAAACCACAGACGTCATCGGTATCACCGACTAGTTCAACATAAAATCCACGTCACGGATACCGTGTCAACAATCACAAAATCCGGTCAAACCTGGGGTTGAAATGCGTGTAATATACCCTGGCCCGACAGAGAGAGAAATACATTATAATTATACAACTGTCAGTGAAGTGAAGTTGACCGTGTAGTGTAGTATCAAAAAACGACAAAAATGGTTCGACATATGGTTCATGGACTCTTCAAACAGTACTACACAGTTTGGGGGTTCTCTTAAAATCAGAACTGTTTCTCAGAATCGTTGCTAATCGAACGATGGCTGTACATGGGAAGTACAGACAATTGACCTCCGACATATAACGATGAGCCTTCAGAGGTTTGTAAATCTGTCATACAGACCTTGTACAAATATATATAAGAAAGCCCATGCCAGTCGAGAATATGCGGCTAGTCTAGATTACCACAGTTTCTAAAAATGAAGAAAGTCTCTGGATTCCCTTACATTACATTTTATTATTATAAATTAGGAACCGTTTTTTTATAAAATACTTTCATGTCGGAGACTAGACGCTAGTCAAGAGGTTTATCAATGGTTTGTAATGCCTAGTACATCTAGTATGTCACGGAGGAATGAGCCCCTCGGTGTTTACACCCTTTAACTGTAATATTCTGCTTTTACTGCATTCCAGGGTGGTTCTTCAGTGTCTTCAAAACCCGACGTGTGTGTTATGAAGGCTACAAGCTCGGATGTTTTTCTGCGGCCGCTCCCCACACAAACACTAACTACCTGCCCCGGTCACCGGACAGCCTGGGGGTCAAGTTCAAGTTCTTCATCAGCCCCAGTATCTACCACACACTCGACCTCAAGTACAACCTCCGGCGTCTTCAGTCCAAAAACGTCTTCCGGCCAGATCTGCCCACCAAGGTCATAATCCACGGCTTCAATGACAGGAGATAACCCATGGGTGGAAAGCATGGTGAAGGAACTCTTGAAAAAGGTAAACACATGATGATGACAACACACTATTTTCCAGTAAATCTGGATGAAGGCTCTACCTGAGAATGGAGGAAATAATGATGCAATTGAAGGTGGGTGGGGGTTTTTTTAATAGAAAATTCAACCCAACCGAAGCTTTAATCGAGGACCAAATGGGTTGCGAAATTACTCTGACTTTGACTTCACATTAAAAAAAACCATCCATGCAACATGATCCTTTGACTTCCATTTACCTCATGTTTAACTTAATTTCTTCTACTTATTTATATGTCATTCACTTATTTTTGTGTCACAAATTGTTTTTATCAAATTATGCTTTAACAAAGGCCTGCTACCAGCTACTTTTAATGGGTGGTGCATTTTATTAATAGACTCTCGACAATCTAGCGTTCATGGAAATTGTCCTTGACCGTTCGCCGCTTTAGGCTGGTTTTGATGAGTCACATAATAATCCGGCCACATTACACTCTTAATTATGTTCAGGGAGGCGTTAAAACCGTCCCATTACTTCAGAATTAGGGCCATAATGTCACGATATTAAGAGAAGTAATGATGTGTTTTTCACTTGAAATGAGACGTTCACCAGGTCTGTTTGCGTTGGTTTACGTTTGGTGTTACGGATACTTGCAGGGCTCCATGAACGTGGTCGTCGTGGACTGGAGAAAAGGGGCAAGCGTGTACGACTACAATCAGGCAGTGGCCGATATCAGGGTGGTAGGCGCCATGACAGCTAGACTGCTCACCAAACTTCAGGAACATGGCGCAGACTCGGCAACCTTCCATTTGATTGGTCACAGTCTCGGCGCCCATATCGCAGGGTATGCCGGGAGCAGGAACACTGTCACTGGTCAAGTCGGACGCATCACGGGTAGGATATCAAACTTCCGTTATCCTGAGTTTTTGATTCTGATGTGTAGTGTCGTCTCATGGCAAGGAAGTCAGTTCTTTATATCTATTATTGACACGCCCCAGTTATAATCCGTTAGATGACGATTGTTTTCTCAATGTAGAGGCGTTTATAAAAATGATCTGATATGGCAGTCATTTATAGGTCTGTTGGCAGGGTGACACATGTAAGCATGTCGTAATGTTCATCGTGACGTCACTTGCTTGTCACGTCACAGTTGACAGTTGTGTAACTGTGCTAGGAGTGCGGTGCCAGCCTCAGTATACGTGTCATTTAGGAGATAAACATCATGTGTTGGCCAGTTTCCGGGTGTTATTGACTATATGAAGCACGGGAATTCAATTGTAATCGACGGCGTCAGCCGGAGGTTTCAAATGAAATATTCCCGTGCTTCAAATACTCAATAACACCCGGAAATTGGCCAACACATCATGTTTATCCTAAATATAACACCTTTTGTACTCCAGTTACAATATGTTGTATCTTTGCAACGCATGAACTTTGTTATATGTTGCGAGATAAACATTAGATCTTTTATTTGCCCGTATGAAGTCCTGAATATGTCTACTATTACTGTAACAGCGGTCGTGACGCTTTTAAGTTTCTATTTTCTATTTAGGTCAAGACGTGATTAACCCCCTGGCTGCCGAGTTTTTTTTCAGGCGCACATTTTCATACGCTTTGAAAAGTGAACGTTGTGCGATAATTGCGCTCGCGTGGTCCTGGATCTACGTACGGCTATAAAATTACACAGAAATGTAGAATATTAAATTTCCTATCCGTTGGTGTAAATAAAAGTGCAACTACCCCGCGGTTTGAGAAATAGACCTTGCTAAATGTTGTCCATATGTTTGTTATGCGTTAAAAAACAGTAAATTTCTCCGCTTTTTATCGCGCACCGATAAAAGCACTGTGCTACGATTTTTTTAATGTGGCATCTTTACGGAAAGTGTGAGCGAAGAAAATACAGCCTGATATCTGAACGATATAAGTGTATATGAATTGGGTTTATGTGCTTGTGCATAACGTTATACGCTCAACATTAAAAATGACTCGTAATAAATGTCAAAAATGGATTTTCTTCTATGACGTCAAACGACGACAGAGAGGTCATACACGTATAATGATAAGGGGGTATAACTCCGTTATGCGTAACACTAGGTCAATGTAACTCAGATCACTTGGACAGAATTTGTTGTGGATACGGACGCTATATTTTCGTTATTTTATGTTCATGGTGAACCAAACTATTCCAATTCAAAGTTCCCCAATGTGAACGGATGCGCTTTGGTAGTTTCACAATTGATAAGAAAAAGATGTCAACGTATTACATGTGAAAGCACGTAATTGCGATTTGAATGGCCCTATCCGATATATAAGTTAGTTCTTAGATTCCCATATTCTCCTGTTTGTGTAGACGTAATTTGACTTATTTTGCATCGTTATTACCAGAGTACTAGCCATATCTTCAAATGTAACGAAATTGCTGAAAATGATACAACATTTTAGTTGACGTTATTGCTTGTTTTATGCATTTTGCGACGTCGGACGACATTGGTATGCTGATTAGTATATATGTCACTTAATTTCCATTAATTGTATAAAAGGTCTAGACTTCTATATCAGAATTTAACACTCTTTAGACAAAACATAAAATGACTGATTTTTCCATTTAAATAGTGTCCTGAATATATCAACAATTAGACGGTTTGATAGCGTATCTTTTTGTGAACAACACGCGCACCTGTTTGGCATCAATATAACGTAAATAAAAATAATATTTCACAACACCCGAATATTTTGTTTGGGATAAGAATTTTGTTTGTTTATGATTATGTCGCTATTTCTCTTCATACGTATGCAATGAAAGATGCAAAAAGATAGCTTTTTATATATGGAACTATATATTAGAATATGGAAGTAAGATTTGTCCGAATTAACACATGAGATGGTATATATATTTTTCAACCATTTTCCTATAAATGTAGATAGAGTTTGATATCCTGTTATCACAATATTATTTAATCGAATATGAATTGAATATATTATCGAAAACAATGCTAGAGAATCATAAAACGTTTCCAACAAACGCGCACCTGGCCGATCAATATGCATCATTCTTTTGTCTATAAAACGACACAAAATTATGCAATGAACAAGACAATTCCTTTAAGTATGTGTGCATATATATTTCATAACATATATAAATCATTTTCATTAATATTATCAGTTTTACATATAAGGTTGAATTATGTCACCGTTCATTAACCTGTTCATATGAAATTGCAATATTAGTAAAAATAAATTGAATATTGTACATCATAGGAACTGAAGTAGTTGCAGTTATTGCTACGTTTGATCTTCTAACACTTCTGTAAAGGTTTCGAATATGGTGTATTGCACTAAATATGTCAATTTCTTATGTAAATATGATTCAAACAATCAAAAACTTTCAAAGAATAAAACACCGTAAACCCTATATGCACGTATGATATGATATTGAACAAGGCTAAATGTAGATACTGAAGTAAGTTTCATGAAAAAGTATCTGAACTAATACGCAAAATATACACCATAATACTGACAGTGTAATCGGAAGGATATGGCGATTGTGTTTACTTTTGTTCAACCGACCTTCACCTCAAAGAAATTGCCTAATATGTAGAACAATGTTGACGTATGACATCACTACCGCTGACCGATTTCTTACAAAATGGCGGCTTTGCTGACAAGGGTACACAGGATTTTGCGAGGACCCTTCCATTGATTCAGGGATCGTTTGTACATAAATATGACATGTAAGTAATCAGAATGATTCTGACTACCACTGTATTGTTATATGTTTTTATCGTTTTCACTATAAGTAAGAGAAAAGGCCAGAAATGCAGATAATTACCGTTGTCGTTCTGCGTGATTTTGCGTCAGTCATGGCGTCACGCTGCACGGAAACTTTGACAATTTCTTATGAATTATCAAATCATTGCATTGTATCTATTTATAATTTCCTATTTCTTGCTACGATACTCTTTCCATGCATATTCCAAAGGTATTGAGCCATTGCAAGCAATGAATAGACGGATGAATGTTGAAAAATTTCAGAAAATGCTACGCAGTGTAAAATCGGAATTTGTCTTTGTTTACATTTCAGACTAACGCAGTCTTTCAAGCACAGCGTTCGTTTTCACACCCAATATGTTTCGTCTCATTTTATCTAGACAGTTATCATCGGTGACACAGACCAGTTGCAATTTGATTCTAAAATGTATGGGGAATTCAGTGATGCATTTTTCGAAGCTGAATATGAAATATAAGTGATGTAATAGGCGTCTCAATACCGGCCTCCGCGAAACGTGATTTTGTAAACACTATCAAATATGGCGGAAAGCGCTCTACGGCGTTCGTGTAAGTGTATTTTCGAAAACATCCCAACCGATTCTAGATTCATCGGCAACGTTTCAGAATTATAATTAGCGATTTCATGTAAAACTGATATCAGTGATCATAAATATGTTATTTTTGAAATTCAATACTCCCAGTAATTATCCGATTTTCACATTTCAAAACATACAGCAAATAACGCTGTGAATCGCGATTTCGTACTGTGTCAAAAATGGCAACATTTTCGATGAAGCCAATTTTGAAAGGTCATTTTCAGCACTTGAGCTTTGTCTAAAATACTAGTGGGCGTTATCAAGAAACAGGAAATTTCCCGCAGAATTCGAAACTGTGAAGTGTATTTGTGTGCGTGGGATATTTTGATTTTTATTGGACTTGGAATTGAGGGTTGAAGGGGAAGGACATATATGTCCCTGTGGCATCCAGGGGGTTAAGGACTTTGTAGGCAAATGAAACCACTTGAATCAAACTATCAGCTGGTTCGAGTCTAGAACTTCCTTTATCAACGACACAACATTTCTTCCAGGCTTGGACCCCGCTGGGCCGTCGTTCGAGGATACGAATCCCACGGTGAGGCTGGACCCGACTGATGCAGCATTCGTTGACGTCATCCACACCGACACGGAGCCGTTAACACACATGGGTGAGAATGTTGATCTAACCACATATGATTATGATATAGACTGCAAATTTACACATGCACACTCGTATACTATACGCTGATACGCCTCGTATTACGTACTGGGGTAGCCGAGATGGTACTGCGTTCGCTTGTCAGGCAATAGTTTCATGTATTTATCTTCTTCAGGCATGGGCATCAAGCAGCTGAGCGGCCACATGGACTTTTACCCTAATGGCGGCGTAGACCAGCCCGGATGCCCCGCCCACATCGCTTACATGCTGGTTACACTTCTGTCGGGGAAATCAAGTAAGTAAGTGTTGACACCGATCACATAATCCATAATGGCGCTATCACCCTCACAGAAAATATAATTATACGTCAGACTTTTGAAAGAATGAAATTGTCTGCCACAAATACACATTGTAGTAGTATTGTTTTGATTAGCTCAGCTGCAGTCAGAGATATGAGGTTCTAAATAGTCAACAGGTTAATATTTAACAGAAGGTTTCTGTATAAATAACCTCATTACATGGAGTTACATATATGTATTACTAAATGGATTCAGGTTTTATTTGTGTTGCATTTAACAGAATTGGCGGCGGGGTAGCCTAGTGGTGAAAGCGTTCGCTCGTCACGCCGAAGACCCTGGTTCGATTTCATGCATGGGTACAATGTTTGAAGCCCATTTCTGGTGTCCCCCGCCGTGATATTGCTGAAATATTGCTAAAAGCGGCGTAAAACTAAACTCAGTCACTCATTCAACAGCGAAACGCGCATGACTACTTTTAAAACAGTGATTGGAGGATCAATATCATGCGTTATTATGTAGGTTTCATCGTTTACTTTCCTTTTTCCAGGTTTCATTGGATCGTTTGCCTGCAGTCACATGCGAGCGGTTTACATATTCACCGAGTCAGTTAACTCCTTGTGTCAATTCAAGGCGACCCAGTGTTCATCAAACACAAATCTCACCGCCAGTGCCTGTATCCGATGTCCTCAAACCGGATGTCCACAAATGGGCTTCTACGCAAACTCATACAAATCTCCTGGGATATATTTCATATCAACACGAGATATAGCACCATTTTGTTTATCATAACCAGCCCTTTAGAAATGAAATATTTGTATACGAACATCAAAATAGACGCAGGCGAATTTTAGAAATTTTCCATTTAGACATCATACGTTTACACCTGCTGTTTTGTTAGACAATTAAACGCATCAGTTCATAATTATGCCACATATTCATTCCTAATTGTTGTTTGGTTGGAAGTCAAGTATCTTCATTGTCACATTCTCTGGTTCGCCCCTGCATCAGGTGCGTGGTTGGAAACATTGTCCTCATCGCCATGTTCATAACTCACAAACGACCATTGTCACTACAAACAAATAAAAAATACAAATTTAAAACTGTTTTATTTCATATCATTTAGTTCATGGTAACACACTAATGCTAGCAACGGCCGAAGCCCAAACGGTTAACTTGGTGTTTACCCTTACAATCCTTGCAATGGTCTGGTGGATCGAGCGTCCCTGCGGAGAGTGGAAGGTCTGGGGTTCGATCTTCAGCCACGTCGTACCAAAAGTGAGGGTGAAGTGAGGTGAAATTGGGTTTTACGTCGTGCTAAAGAATATTTCGCTCATATGACGACGTGCATGCGTGTGTATGTGTATGTGCGCCTGCTTGCATTAGCCCAGACTTGAGCTGGTTTTATAGTGCTAGCCCACTGAGATACCATGCCGCAGTGAAGCATGAATACCCCACTCAGACACATTATACTGACTTCGAGCTGACCAGTTCTTGCTGTACCCATTAATGCCGAGCGCCAGGCAGGGACCAACAGGTACCATATTTTAACGTCTTTTGGTACGACGCGGTCGGGGATCGAACCCGCGACCTTCCGCTCTCCGGGCGGACGCTCTAACCACTACACCCCGGAGGCGGTCCAAAAAAAGTGAGGGAGTATATTCCAGCTATATTGTACCAATGTGGGCAATTGGGTCCGGGTCTTTAGCGAACGCTTAAACCACAGGGCTACCCCACCGCCCATTCATACCAAAAGACGTTGAACGACGGTACATGTTGTTACCGTGCCTTGAGCTCGGGATTCAAACATGGACTGGTCGGCTCAGAGTCAGTATACTGTGTATACCGAGTAATGCATTATTGTATTTCGGTGGGTGAGCACTTACATGAAATCGGCGTTAGTCCGGGTGCACACACACAGAGTCGCATACATGTAACTACAATCGTCTTGAACACTTCGTTAACCCCCACTTCGCCCCACCTCCTTACAGTGTTGTTTTCAAGAACACCATCATAAGTACGCTCCATGTAGAACCCGACCTTCAAGTTAACAAGGTCAAGTAGACACGATGACACCGAAGGCAGACGTATAATGGTTACTTTGCATGGATGTATTACGTTCTGTCATCAGGTGAAGTAAGTAAATAGCGAAAAATATAAAAGTTTAGGCTTTTTCAGACCCCATTTCTATTTGTTCATTTTGTTCTAGATTTCGTATGAATTTTACAGTGAAGTAAATATTCACAATGATATTCACATACTGATGGCAAGTATTAAGGGAACACGTAAACAAACAGTGTCAAGTACAGTCTAGTATGTAGCATAGCGAGTGCCATACTATCATGAAAATCACAGAATGCATGTGGAAATCAAGCTAAAGTACTTTCGGAAATGCTAGAAAAATGGTTTTTAGACTTAATATCTTTAGAAAGATGATATATGAATTATGTTGTCAATATATCAACTCACCTATAGTGTACCTAATTTTTATTTCAATTGATTTAACATTTCCATGCATTTAAAGGGCAGTTTACAGGAGAGAATTTGGTACCAAAACAACAACAACAGAAATCTGAAATAGTCTTTACATTTATGCTAATAATACAGGTGGTGTAAAAATATAAATTAACGTTTTTCTTAAACAAATAAATGTTGAATGTTTGTGTTACTTTACTTAATTATCGTTTCTTATTGAAGAAATATTATAAATATAAATGTTGAAGTCTTGATAAATATGTTTCCCGTCATGCATGCACATCTTTATCACAGCGTCCACTATGGCCAACTATTTGCAGACGATTGTTGCAAAGGTTTATTAGTTTTTTTGTGCTTGAAAAAGACAGAGGTACACCTTTCATTTGTATAGAAACGGTTTAATACAGAACTTGTAGAGCAGTTGGTATGTCTTACCAACAAGTTTACAATATTGTAAACAAATCAGACAAGGCAGGGACCGTCTCAAAAGCAAAACCGGGACGTAAAACCATCCTTGACAACTTTGACAAGGGAGTACTTAGACGGGCGGTCTACAAACTTTATGAGAAGAAGAATATATATATTCTAAAGAAGCTACACCAGTGACTTCGTTAAATCTTTGGCCAATGTTCACAACTAGATTAAACTGACCGAATTACATCCATATTTTTGCAATGAAATATACTGTTGACATGCAAAACATTTATTAAAACGTTGCACATTTCTACAATCAATCGATAAGATAACACAAGTGATAGGATTCTTTCCAATGTACAGTAATTCGTATGTTTATTTCACAACAAACACACATACACAAATGATCCCTTACATAACCAATACGTATACTATACGTACACATATTCAACATTTTGAAGAAAACATCTATTGAGATGCCCCCTCGCCTGAGTGTGTGCTCAGGTGTCAATATCACCTGTCGATACCGTGGATGCCGTTGACGTAACACAGGCAGTGAAAGTTTTAGCAAATAACGTCCCACTACCTCGTATTTTTCTAAGTTTTTGGTATTTTCATCAGTAAAAACGCATTTTAGGGCATGTCTAAAAATTTATTCCCTCGGTCTACATTAGGTAGATGTTTTTAAAGTGATATTTGTTATTTAAGTAACTGTAATACCTCTGAATTTTAAATATAAGTCAAAAAAGCATTTTTCTAGCATTTCCGACAGTACTTATCTAACGAAACCAGGCTCCGCTTTCCCAGTGCAAATCTTTACCTTGTTTACAGCCGGTGCCTATGACAGTGCATTAGACAACACTCCAGTTTTAAGCACATTGTACAGTTTATAAACACGACCGTCCCTACACGGTAGTAACAACCTATTCTACTATGAGTATAGAATACAGAAGTACTTGCTACAGATACACATATCTGTCCACAGAACCACAAGACCGCAAACTTCAGCATTGTCTCTGCGTCTTGACAAACACTACCTGGAAGCTAGACGGTGACGCATATAAGGAAGGTTCCGCTTGTACGAAAAGGTCTTCAATAATTCCTTTTCTACCGGTTCTTCCCGATGAATACTGAATAATATATATCATCTACGTCAGTGGTTACACGTCAGTCGAAGCGTTTTGAGGTACACTTCGACCCCCGATATCAGCACGTACTCCGGGCCCCATGTGATAGCCATATGCTGCCCCCACTTCTTATTGCGATTTCTCTTGGACAAAATACTCTCCTGTAACACAGAATAATCAATGAGTGAGCCTATCTCCTAGACACAAGAGCATAGATTACATAGGAGTCAAACACAAGCTTAGAATGATTTAGCAAGACTAGAACTGGATGTCAGCCCAGGAGTATGTCATGATACACAACCAACACATCGTCCTAAATCCAATACTCGGTAAGTATGATACGACATACAGTCAACACATCGTCCTAAATCCCATCCTAGGTCAGTATGACACGACATACAGGCAACACGTCGTCCTAAATCCAATCCTAGGTCAGTATGACACGACATACAGGCAACACATCGTTCTAAATCCTATCCTAGGTCAATATGACACGACATACAAGCAACACATTGTCCTAAATCCCATCCTAGATCAGTATGACACGACACGCAACCAACACATCATCCTAAATCCCATCCTAGGTCAATATGACACGACATACAACCAACACATCGTCCTAAATCCCATTCTAGAGCAGTATGACACGACATACCGGCAACACATCTTCCTAAATCCCATCCTAGGTCAATATCCCACGACATACAGGCAACACGTCGTCCTTAATCCCCTCCTAGGTAAATATGACACGACATACAGGCAAACATCGTGCTAAATCCCATCCTAGGTCAATATGACACGACATACCGACAGCACATCGTCCTAAATCCCATCCTAGGTCAGTATGACACGACATACGGAAAACACATCGTCCTAACTTCCATCCTAGGTCAGTATCACACGACATACCGGCAACAAATCATCCTAAATCCCATCCTAGATCAGTATGACACGACATACAGGCAACACATCTTTCTAAGTCCCATCCTAGGTCAATATGACACAACATACAGGCAACACGTCGTCCTTAATCCCCTCCTAGGTAAATATGACACGACATACAGGCAAACATCGTGCTAAATCCCATCCTAGGTCAATATGACACGACATACCGACAGCACATCGTCCTAAATCCCATCCTAGATCAGTATGACACGACATACAGGCAACACATCTTTCTAAGTCCCATCCTAGGTCAATATGACACAACATACAGGCAACACATCGTCCTAAATCCCATCCTAGATCAGTATGACACGACATACTGGCAACACATCTTTCTAAGTCCCATCCTAGGTCAGCATGACACGGCATACAGGCAACACATCGTCCTAAATCCCATCCTAGATCAATATGACACGACATACTGGCAACACATCGTCCTAAATCCCATCCTAGATCAATATCACACGACATACAAGCAACACATTGTCCTACATCCCATCCTAGGTCAGTATGACACGACATACAGGCAACACATCGCCTAAATCCCATCCTAGATCAGTATGACACGACACGCAACCAACACATCATCCTAAATACCATCCTAGGTCAATATGACACGACATACAGGCAACGCGTCGTCCTAAATCCCATCCTAGGTCAATATGACACGACATACATGTAACACATCGTCATAAACCCTATCCTAAGTTAGTATGACACGACATATACCGGCAACACATCGTGCTAAATCCCATCCTAGGTCAATATGACACTACATACAGGCAAATCATCGTGCTAAATCCCATCCTAGGTCAATATGACACGACATACAGGCAACACATTGTCCTAAATCCCATCCTAGATCAGTATGACACGACATACAGGCAACACATTGTCCTAAATCCCATCCTAGGTCAATATGACACGACATACAGGCAACACATCGTCCTAAATCCCATCCTAGGTCAATATGACACGACATACGGGCAAAACATCGCCCTAAATCCCATCCTAGGTCAGTATGACACGGCATACATGCAACACATCGTCCTAAACCCTATCCTTGGTCAGTATGACACGGCATACATGCAACACATCGTCCTTAACCCCATCCTAGGTCAGTATGACACGACACGCAACCAACACATCATCCTAAATCCCATGTTAGGTCAATATGACACGACATACAGGCAACACATCGTCCTAAATCCCATCCTAGGTCAATATGACACGACATCCCGGCAACACATCGTCCTAAATCCCATCCTAGGTCAATATGACACGACATACAGGCAACATATCGTCCTAAATCCCATCCTAGGTCAGTATGGCACGGCATACATGCAACACATCGTCCTTAACCCCATCCTAGACCAGTATGACACGACACACAACCAACACATAGTCCTAAATACAGGTCTAGGGTTTAACGTCAATAGCCAATCGTCATGATCACACGTCAATATCACACGACATACCGGCAACATGTCGTCTTAAATCCCATCCTAGGTCAATATCACACGACATACATGCAACACATCGTCCTAAACCCTATCCTAGGTCAATATGACACGACATACAAGCAACACATAGTCCTAAATCCATGTCTAGAGTTTAACGTCAATAGCCAATCGTCATGACGGCCTCCAGTGAGTAATGGAACCGAAAATCAGTAGTCAATGTCGTGTAAGGTATGGGTGTCAAATTATCCTACACAAAAATCAAGGATTTAAAAAAGAAATTAAAGAATTTAAGAAATTAAATATTCAAAAGGCAGTCCACTTGACAATATTGAAGAACATATCACCAACAAGCAAGTACTTTGCCATCCCAAGTTCAAATTCAGATGCGTTAAATCAGTCCGATATCGCAACAGTCACAAACCGGTTGATGTATAGACAAGCCCATCTGCAACAGACAGTCTTTGATAAACTCCCCAAGCTAACTCCCCATCCTAACTCCCCATATTAATTCCCCATCCTAACTCCCCATACTAACTACCCTGCCGTCTTACCTATGTTGCGTGTGTACAGCGATGGTTGTCAGTCGTTGCAAATGCACGCCGTTGCTGGAGCGCCAGAAGCCGAGGTAGTCGAAGTAGGTGTAGACCCTCTGGAAGGTGACGTACACGTCCTCGATGTCGCCTAAGTCTGATGGCGTCACAAACATTCTCTGCACTACTTCGCCAGGGGTGAACGCACCACTACAAAGGTCAAAGGTTGACTTGACTAGTATTTATTTACAGATTATTTACAGACCGTCGCCATATAGCTGGAATATTGCTGAGTGCGGCGTAAACCTAAACTCACTTACCCACTCACTTGAATACCCTGATCTCATTCGCTACCCTTGTTTCTAAGCCTGATTCGAGTGGAGGACACCAAATAGAGTAAGTGAGTGATTGATAGTAGTTTTACGCTGCTTTAGGGAATATTCCAACAACAACATCACATGAGATACACCACGAATATATACTTCTCATCAAATGTTTAGACTCACTAGTGCAAAATATTCTATACTGTTTAAAGGTACTGTTTCCACATGAACTGATGTATTGTAAACAAATTCGTACAGTTGAAAAGATTATTGTCATGAGTTCAAGAAATGATAAAACTCTGTGAAAATTGGCGAATTCCTAACAAAACTTTACACCAAAACTCAGCTGTTCACATGCACGATATTTGCACATGCTCTTCAACAACGTGATGCACGGTCCTCGGGCAATCCATCTGTATATGGTTTGCAGTTGGTTTCCCCAGCTTAGTGTAGAAATCAATCTTCGATGTAACCATATATATATATATACATAACATATAGTGAGTGTTTTCAGTGAGTCTAAACATTTGACGGGACGTACACTTCACGCATTGCACCTTAGCGATGTAGTGACGAAAAAGAAAACGGATAGCGCCGACTTCGATCAGTTAATTCATATCGATGTCAAGGTATACCATTATTGTTGTTACAAATCTCCCTCATCAAAGACAGCGAGTCCATATCACAACTGTTTTTTGGTTTTTTGTTGTTGGTTTATTTTATTTATTAATTTTTTTTTTTTTTGGGGTTGTTGTTGTTTTGGGTAGTTTTGTTGTTGTTTGGTTGGTTTTGGGGGTTTTGTTTGTTTGTTTTATGTGGGGGTAAAGATCGGCTACGTATGGTAGAGAATATTCTATACCTGTTCTCACCTGTGTATTTCCATTGGGTGTGTCTGTCCCTGTGAGCCATACAGCCGCACCTCCATGCTTCCATGGATGACGGACATTGTGTCCGCTAGCCTCACCTTCACAAAGTAGGGGTAACCTGGGAACAAACATATATTTACACAAACTGTTCTTGTTAGCTGTACAATAAATACACGCCATTACTGAGAGTGATATCAGACATTACATAACATCATTAGTTGTTTCACTGATTCTTTCCCATTACTATAGTTCATCTGTCCTGACAGTTTTACCATGTGATTATATGACAGAGTCGGGTGTCCTGACAGTTTTACCATGTGATTATATGACAGAGTCGGGTGTCCTGACAGTTTTACCATGTGACTTTATGACAGAGTCGGGTGTCCTGACAGTTTTACCATGTGACTATATGACAGAGTCGGGTGTCCTGACAGTTTTACCATGTGACTATATGACAGAGTCCGGTGTCCTGACAGTTTTACCATGTGACTATATGACAGAGTCGGGTGTCCTGACAGTTTTACCATGTGACTATATGACAGAGTCGGGTGTCCTGACAGTTTTACCATGTGATTATATGACAGAGTCGGGTGTCCTGACAGTTTTACCGTGTGATTATATGAGAGTCGGGTGTCCTGACAGATTAACTATAGTATTCTTAACTTCTTTTGATCAACACATAAAGAGGATATATTATTCAATGTTTTAGCACTTCGGAAACCAAAAACAATTAATAAGGATCAGACAAATCATGATTGGTCCCTGTTGTTTAACTGAGATACGACACCTGAGAAACAGACCAATTCCGTGGGATTGAAGCTTTCGGAAGTGAGGTTGCCAACCACACAAAATCATCAGCGTTTAAGTATCCACACCAATGTATATATAAGACTGAGGCATAACTGTTTCCAGGGAACATGTACTAGCTTTATAATCTGCATATATTAGTAAATATGCGTATGACGGGCTATGAATTCAATATATTCCTATAATTCAGACATACCACAATATGGACGTGTAGGCCTGGTGTCCAAATAGAACGACCCTCTCGCTGGGGACTGGATGGATGGGTAGCCCATGACGGGGCAGGGGGTGTTGCCGCAGTGGAAGCAGTTGCCGCTATTGAAGTCGGTGATGCTGGAGCAGGCGAAGGCCGTGAAGGGACAGGGGGAGTTGACAGACTCTACAAACAGCTCGCTAGCTCTGTTGTGGTTGCAGCCGATGCTGAGCTCCGCCTCTGAGATACAGTAAACTCTCACCATAGTCATTTAATACTAAACAACAATATTAATATATAAAGGCATTTAAGTAGGATATGTCAAAAGTATTCGTTAAAAAATCCTTATCTTATCGTGTACTTAAGTACGGTACCTACCTAAAACAGAAACATGGCTCAAGAAAAATGTGTACATCTAAGAAACAAATCACTTTTCGAATGTTATATCGGCCAGTGTCAGATATAAGGATCTGCTGACATAGAAAACATAATTTAAAACAACTTTGAATACAATAATGTAGACATGTAGAACAATGACTATTGAAATGGTAAAATTCAGTTACAGTAAGCAGATGAGCATACATTCATCCTTCATCAATTCGTACATATCACATTTGTCGTGAAATGAAAACATTTGTGACAATGAAAATAAGAATTCCTCATGGTAAGATGAGTCATTATGTTGAAAAGTTGTTTGATCAAAATTACAACGTTAAAGATCACAGTAACGTTTTCTAAAAGTCTTCCGACAGTCTCAAACAATTCACTATTTTGACTTATAATAATTAATCAATGATTAGTGCATATATATTGCATTAAATCCACACCAACAGCATGCTCAGCAGGAGTGTTATTACTGCCTGTGAGGCGCTAGAAGGTTAATAGTACCATGACTTATCCCACCGGGTACCCATTTTCAGCTTGGTGAACAGAGTCAATTTAAAACAAATTCACTTGCATAAGTTGAGACCACGTGTATTACACGTGTTTCGTTGTGGGACAGGCCTGATGTCCTAGAAACTCTCAGGAGTTGAAGGACTCTCCTAAGGACGTTGCTTAACTTCCACTGATATATAACCTCAGCTCTATGCACAGGTTTTTAAAGATGCCGTATTTCCTCTATTAAGCGCCGGATCTCTATTAAGCGCCGGGCCTCTAATAACCGCCGGGGATAAAGCAGTGCTTCAAGAAATAAGCGCCGGGCCTCTAATAAGCGCCGGGTATAGTCCTTTGCATTTTTTCGCAAATGTATTCTCCCTTGGTCTAAAATAAATATATT